GATTTTACACTTCTCGTATAAATTTTTTCTTCGTGAATTTTAATCGTGAAGATTTATCACTACAGGAATCAGCCAGTTCCGATCCTCAGGAGAGAATTTTTTTCGGACGTGCTAGATCGAAAAATAGACATGTGTACAATCGTCCTTCCAAATATATTTCTAGTAAATTAAGTATATTTTATTATCTTTATTATGAATGTATTTCCCATGTTATTATATATCAATCAGGCTTTCTTTTTTCTTTCTTTTTTTTAACTCAGGATAAGAAAATAATATTGAGGATCGTATTAAATGACATAAGGTATAGAAAAAGTTATAAAAAGAAGAGATTGATAGGAATACTGCAGTTTATAATGTTCTTTTCTTTTGACTCGAATTTGTGGGTTCCAAGTAAGTTTTTTTTTCAATGTAAAGTCTCAAATAGCGGATGGCATTGCTGGGAGAGGAACATAATTGTAGAAGATGGGGATGAGTGACGCGGTGTAAGGTGAAAAGTATTTTCCGAGATTTGGTTTCGTCGAGGCATGTTTTTGGAGGTTCCTGAAGAACACTGGGTCTCGATTTGATGGAAGGTGGTTACCCTCTGAATGAGGAGTAGTAAATCGGAATTCACAGGAATGTCTGCAGTTTATCCTGATTCTACTACGGCTAGCTGTGAGCACTGGTAAGCATAACTGGAAGCATAATGGATCAAAAAAACTTTTTAAAACAACAAAAAATCGGGTTTGTTTTAACCTCTTAAATGCGAATTTTCATTGTAAAAATAATGCAATTCTTGGGTTAGACTGGGACAATTTTTCCCCTGAAGATATCCGGTGTTCCTCATAAAAATTCATAATTCCTCTGGATTTTATCCAAATTCTACGATATTACAACCGTTGGAAAGCATGTTTAGATTAACCTAATAAAATAATATGCAGGATCGTATTGAATGAGATGAAGTGATGAAGTACAAAAAAAGTTAGAAAAACGAAAACACTCTTTCAGTAAAGTAGGCCGGCAATTTTTTTGTTGTTGAAAAAACCGATTCGTGTTCGTGTTAAACTTCCTATAAAGCATTAGATACGAATTTTTATAGTAAACAAAAAATATACATTTTTGGTCTGAACTCGATCAGCCAGGGGCAAACAAACACACGCTTTCAGTAAAGTAGTTGAAAAGTTTTTTTTAAACCCAATTCGTCTTTGCGTTAAGCGACCTTCAAAGCTCTCAAAAACGAATTTTTATGGCAATCAACAATTAACTCCTTTTTTGGCTGGATTCGCTATGATGATGGGGATGAATTTCGTTTTGTCCCTGTTCCATTCAAAGATTCATAACTCCTCTGGATTTCAACCAAGTTCGACACGTTATTACAACCATTTGAAGCTGAATATTTCTTCTTTTAGTATATAGTATGTAGTGTGTCAACAATGCTTAGATTTTATGCCATTCTAAGTTAGAAAAATATGGACGAAATCGACTTCTGCTCAAGCATTTTATTTTCTATCTCTAGGCCTAATGTACCTACGGAGACTAGGTTTGGGCCATTAAATGTCTTTTATAGGATTCTAACTTACTGTAAAGTTTCATGTGGATCAATGGAGTCGTTTCAAAGTTATCAGCGTTTTTTATGATTTACCAACAAAAAATCGATGGCATTGGAAGACGAAAAGTTTTAGATTGATTTTCCCAAAAATTTTTATTCGGGGTTTTTATGGTGTTTGAAACACGAATGTTTCTTGTTAAAAAAAAAATTTTTTTGAAAACTATGTCGCTCTGTCACAAATTAAATAGTTCAATATTTATGAATCTCTTTACAACTAGCTGTAAACACAGGCTAGCAAAAATGGAAGGAAAATAAGGCCAAAATATTTTCTTAACTAAACAATTCGTTTTAAGCATCTTGTAAAGCCATTGAATAGGAATTTTCATAGCAAAGAAAAAATATACATTTTTGAGCTCGATCTGCCAGGGGCAATTTTTGACTCGCTCCGATTCCGTTTTTCCGCTTAAAAATCCATTCAACACCTCTGGATTTTATCCAAATTCCACGTTATTAGGACCGTTGGAAAGCTGAATGTCTTTTCTTTCGGCCTAGCTCAATAGGGTTTAGATTTGACATTAGTAAAACTAAGAAAAACAAAGATTAAATCAACAGAAACCGCTCAAACGTTTTATTTCGTAACTTCGATTCTGATTTATTTACAGAGAATATGTTTGTGCCATTAGATATTGTTTACAGGGTTCCAAGTTTCTATAAAGTTTCATATGGATCAGTACAGTCGTTTCAATGTTATCAACAGTTTCTATGATTTTCTTAGGAAAATCCTTAAGGGCGCAAAACCTGAGAAAAAAAATATTTTTGATTTTCCTGAAAATCTGTATTGAGTGGTTTTACCTGGTGCGAAAAACTAATATGAACTTGTTTCTTGTTTTAAAAAAAATTTCGTCAATTTTTCTGCGTTTCTCGGTCACAAACTATGTACTTTCAATACTTATCATGGCCCACCCTGCTCTTATAGGAAGGAAGGGACCGAACGACTTAGCAAAGTCGGTTAAAATATTTTTTTAACAGGACAGAAAGTTTCATCACCCCAAAAACGCTTAAATAAAATTTTTTGGTAAAATCATAATATAATTTTTTTTTCTTGAAGGTTTCGGCTAAGGTTTTTTCGTCGAAAAAAATATTGATAACTTTGAAACGACTCCACTGATGTATATGAAACTTGATAATAACTTAGAATAATCCTACAAACCAGACTTAGTGGCACAAACCAAGTCTCCATAAATAAATTCAAACATGAGAAATAAAATAAACGTTTAAGCAGTTATTGTATATTTCATTCCTATTATATTGTTGACTTTTTGCATCACCCCATTTTATTCATTGCATAAAATGTTGACTTTTTGTTGACATAGCGTGAAAGAAGAAATAATCTGCTTTCCAACTGTTGTAATAATGTTGAATTTGGTAAAAATCCAGAGGAGTTAAGAATTTTTAAACGGAACAACAGGAAGACCAGAGGACAGGCTCGAACTAGACCCTACCCCAAAAATGTTCCAAAATTCGTATTTAGGGGCTTTAAAGGATGCTTAAAACAAATCCGAATTGATTTTTTTTTCTTCAACAAAACAACTTTTTGGCTTACTGAAGGCGTCTTTTTGTTTTTGTTTTCTTTTTGTTTCCTTATATCTAATCTCATTTAACACAATCTTGCACACTATTTTCTTAAACTAGATTTTTTTCTAATCGAATGGTAATAATCAGGAAATACAAGCACAAAGGCAGGAAAATATATTTTAAAAAATCTGTTTTTTTTTTGTTTTTTTCTAGCCTCCTAGGGCCCATCGGCAAGAACAGGAGACGTGTCCAATATTTTTCGGCCTAGTATCACGCAAAAAAATTTGATAAAAATCGGCGATTCAACGTACAAATTCCTCTTTCAAATTCGCCGTCACGCCAGATGGTTTTTCGGGTTCAAGCCCAGTGATTATTCAGGTTTTTTTTGTCCAGTTGTTTCTTTCGGATTATTCATGTTGAATGAAAATTTCGTATTGTCGATTAAATATTGTCTTTCGATAGAAACCCCCCCCCCAGACTTACGCAGTTCAAGCATGCGATTGCAACAACTATTTATTTTTTTTAGAACTGAGTCACACACGATTAAAACAATGAAAATCAAAAGTCAATAATCGTTTTTATCTTGTACTAATTTTATGACGGTTGAAATTAAAAAACCGATGACATTATTGAGAATTACAATCCCCTGTCGTAACAAATCGTCATCCAAATGAAACAAGACATAAATGGTGAACTTTACTGTCTTTTTTTAGTACCACTCATAAAATGTTCTTTTATACCCTTATCGTGTATTAATTTTTTTTTTTGTAAACGCTTGATATTTTTTCACCTTTTTGAATTGTGTGATAACGAAATGCTTAATTCTTATGGAATATACAATTTACAATGCGGGCCTCTCAGGCTTTTATTATTAATCTTAATTGTTTTCCGTTGTCACGATTTAATGTTTCGTTGTTGTTGTTGGTTTTTAGAGTCGAGATAAGTTCTACAAGGTGGATGTAAAATATGCAAAATTGAACTTCGCGGAAGTTGGCGTAGGAGAACGAGAAAAGCTCCCGATATGGGTACGAAAGTGGCACCTTTTGACCGTTTCACAAAAGCCGATGTGGCCCAGTTTTAAGACGGCTTTATCCACGACTATGTGGAATTTAAAGACCCAAGACTGGAAAAATTACAACGATTATCGAAACAGTTTTGATTTGTTCTACTCGGCTCGGTGTAAAATGATCAATTAATGAATTTTAATATCGAACGGGACGTCGATGTCAGCCTAACATCCGCAGCTTCCCATGTTCGGCAAATTGGTCTTCCTCAAAAGCAAAATTGAAATTGAACTTCTGCAGAATCGTAGGCCATTTTGATCAAAAAAATCTCGGTCTAGGGCAGTTTTAAGAACGAGACTTTTTGACGGATTTATCTACGAATGACAGCAGAGCCGGAAAAAGTATTAAATTATTTCGATCTTTCATGAGACCCTCCATTGAGGAGGACGAAAATGTTGTAGCGTGTTCTTTGACTTATGGAGCTTATTAAAGACTGACCTGGAACCTGGAAGTACCGCTATCCTATCCTCCTTCGACCGACCACTATATTATTATCCAGCCACAAACATTTAAAAACCTGCTGAATTTAAAAAACTCATTTTCCTCTCTAGTTTTTCGTTGTGAATCGGGCCAAAATGGAATTTGTACATTGATCTCTGTAAAACGACTGTAATCTCCGACGTTGTGTTCTGAAATTCTTTCAGGGAAGATTAGTGTGTTGTTGTAGGAGGATTAAGGCACCGGGGCAGAAGGTCGTCGAAACAAAACGGAATTTTTGGATGGAAAGATTTGACCATTGAGTGAATTTGACGAGATGTATTTTGTTTACACCCGGCGTCATCGAGAAATCAGTGACAGCTCAAAAAAAAAAATTTTTATAAAAGGGTACTTACGTGTATCGGTAAAACACCACACAGCACTTGAACAAAGCCACAAAAATAGACGGTCTGAGATGAATGAAGTCGGGTGATCGTGAAGAAATTCGAAACGGGTGCAAGAACTACGGCCGACTCTTGTGAGACTGATGTGAGAGTCGGTCGGGTCGAGCCGATCTTGCCCCTACCACGTTCATATCTTCTTCGCCCCCTCTTTATTTTTCTTTCGACCTGCACGGCCGGACTTCTTCTTCGTCTATCTTCTTTCTTTCTCGGTCAAACGATTCGGGAACTGCAGAGCGACTCCGGCCGCTCTCCGGTGGGTCCGCTCTCCTCCGCTCCCCCTGTAGATCCGGGATCGGTTTCGTTCGGATTCGCCGAAGATTTTACACTGTTTTACATCCGCGTCGTACGACCAAACAGGGTCAGTGAAAAGTGGTCTCTTTAGATCCTATAAAGAGTCGGCCACTGTGCTTCAGAGGAGACAAAAATATTTTCTTTTTTTATTTTAATTCCGCTCCAAGAATATAATTTATTAAATCCATTATATTTAGTGGTCTACCAAGTTACTTCTTTCAATTAATTAATCTTTTTATGTAAGGTTTGGTTGAAATGTAAAAGTCAGTGCCACGAGCGGGATTCGAACCCACGACCTTCGGCTAAATACGCCGCTGCTCTACCACTTGAGCTAGCGTGACAGTCACGTCATGGGTTCGAATCCCGCTCGTATTACTAACTTTTTCATTTCGACCAAAACCTTACATAAAAATATAATTTATATTTACTTTATTACATTAAATAACAACTCCCACCACCGAAAAAAATCAATCCCAACATATATCGACTTTCTCTCTATTAACACTATCCCTATACCTTTCAAAATTTTAGAAAAAAAGTCTAACAATGCAAATATTTATATACCTAAACATCATGTTTTCTGTCAAGAAACAATGGTTAAAGTCGTCTGTCAAGTGGACCTAAACAGAAATTTAAAGAATACAAAGATAATATATAAAAAATAATAATTGGTGCAATATAAATAAGAATTGGAATCAGCGGTGGCCTGTGAACAAACTTCAATTCTTGAGAAATTATCTCACAATGCATCCTGCCTAATCCGAACTTCGGAAAACAATTCGATAAGTCAGTTTCAAAGGAAAAACAAATGAACAAAGGAAACATTGTTTTGGGAGGAAAGGGAACGGACATACATAGATAGAAAGAGTGGGTGACTGATTAGAGAGCGAGTGAGTGGGGGAGAGAAAGGATAAGTGAGTAAGATAGAGAAAGCGCGAGTGAGAGAGATAGAGAGCGTGTGTGAGTGTGTGTGTGTGTGTGGGTGTGTGTGTGTGGGGGGGGGGAGAAAGAATGAGTGACTAAAATAGAGAGAGCGTGAGTGAGAAAAATAGAGAGCGTGCGTGTGTGTGTGTGTGTGTGTGTGTGTGTGTGTGTGTGTGTGTGTGTGTGTGTGTGTGTGTGTGAGAGAGAGAGAGAGAGAGAGAGAGAGAAAGGAAATGAGTAGGCGAAAGTAATTTAGAGAGATTATATAAGAAAAAGAAAAGATAGGGGGAAGGTAGCGAGTGAGTGAGACATTGAGTAGAGAGAGAAAGAGATTGAGTGAGTGAATGACGAAGAGACTGAGTGGAAACGATAGTAAAAGAATGAGCGATACACGCCTTAAAGGCTTAAAGGACGCTTACAACAAATCCGAAACAAATGAATTTTGGGAGGAAAAGGTAGGGACATAGATAGAGAGAAAGCGTGAGCGAGTAGAGAGATAGTGAGTGATAAGAAAGAATGAGTAAGTGAGCGACTCAGAGAGAACGTGCGTGCGTGAGTGAGAGAGTAAGTGAGAAGGAGAAATTAAGAGATACAGGCTTTAAAGGTACTTAAAAAAAATCCGAATTGATTTTTCCAACAAAACAACTTTTTGGCTTGCTAAGTGTCTTTTTGTTTTTGTAACTTTTCTTATATCTAATCACATCAATGATTCAATCTTGCATACTATTTTCTTATCATAAATTTGTTTTAAATCTAATGGTATTCATCCTTCAAGTACATGCACAAGAATACGAAAATATGTTTTAAATATTTTTTTCCTAACCTCCTAGACCCACTGTGAGGAAACAAAAATATTTCTTTTTTTTATATTTTATATCCGCCCCATGAATATAATTTATATTTACCTTATTGCATAAAGTAATAACACCCACTACCGAGAAAAAAAATCAATCCAACGTCTATCTCTTTTTCTCTCTATTGGCATCTATAACTTCCAAAATTTTAGAAAAAAATGTTTAATAATAATAATGTAAATATTCAAATGCCTAAATATTACACTTTACATCAAGAAACAATGGTTTACAGACGTTTATGTCGGGTTAACCAAAAGAGAAATTGAACAGTTGCGACACGACACACAACCGTGATACATCTACACAAAAAATACATACATTGAGCTCTGAAGATGATCCAAATAAAGATCGAAACATTGGCGCAATAAAGGAAATGTTTTTCTAAACCTACATGACACAAGACCGCATCTCACGATCTCCAAATAATCGTAAAGAATAATATTTAGGCGTTTAAATATTTACATTATTATTAGTAGTAGTATTAAGCATTTTTTTCTAAAATTTTGGTAGTTACAGGTTGAATGCCAATAGAGGAAAGTCAGATAGCTGTTGGGATTGATTTTTTTGGTAGTGGGTGTTGTTACTTTATGTAATAAAGTAAATATAATTTATATTCATGGAACGGATATAAAATATAAAAAAGAAATATTTTTATCTCCTCACCATAGATTTAGGAGGCTATTAAAGAAAACGATACTTAAAACATATTTTCCTATTTTTCTGCATGTACTTGAAGGATGTATACCATTCGATTTAAAACAAATCTAGGATAAAAAAAATAGTATGCAAGTAATTAGATATAAGAAAAGTTACAAAAACACGCTTTCAGTAAGCCAAAAAGTTGTTTTGTTGAAAAAATCCATTCGGATTTGTTTTAAGCACCTTTTAAAGCCGTATCATTCACTTTCTCCTACTTACTCTCTATCTCTCTTTCGCGCGCGCGCACGCGCCCACACACACACACGCGCGCTCACTCTCTCTCTCTCTATCTATCTCACTCACTCATTCACTCACTATCTCTCTACTCACTCACACACTCACTTACTCAGTCACTCACCCTTTCTATCTATCTATGTCCCTACCCATTCCTCCCATTATAAAATAAATATAAATTATGGTCCTGGAGCAGACATAAAATATATTTTACTCTTCTGAACCACAGTGGGCCTAGTAGACTAAGAAAAAAAAGATATTTAAAATAAATTTTCCCACCCTTGTGCATGTACTTGAAGGATGTATACCAATACAATAGTATGCGAAGTTGAATTAAACCTGATTCCATATAAGAAAAAGTACAAAAACAAAAAGACGCTTTCAGTAAGCCAAAAAGTTGTTTTGTTGGAAAAATCAATTCGGATTTGTTTTAAGCACCTTTTAAGCCGTATCATTCACTTTCTCCTACTCACTTACTCTCTCTCTCTCTCTCTCTCTCTCTCTCTCTCTCATACACACACACCCACGTTCTCTCTATCTTTCTACTCACTCACTCACTCTTTATATCTTTCGCTCATTCTTTTACTATTGTTTCCACTCAGGCTTTCCCTCATTCACTCACTCATTCTCTCTTTCTCACTCAATCTCTCTTTCTCTCCCTCAGTCTATCTCCCTGCTCAATGTCTCGCTCACTCATCACTATTTCTCCCTATCTTTTCTTTTTCTCATATAATCTCCGTCAATCACTTTCACCTACTCATTTACTCTCTCTCTCTCTCAACACACACAACTCACACACACTCAAGCACGCTCTCTATCTCTCAGTCATGCTCTCTCTATCTTACTCATTCTTTCTCTCCCTCACTCACTCTCTAATCAATCAACGAGTGAGTTAGTCTAAGTGAGGGTCATCAAAACCAACTCCAGTAAATTCTACAATTTTTCCAATATTATTTTTTTTCAGTGATCCCCCCCCAAAAAAAAACGCCTGAGCATGGTGGAATCTCTGATGGTACCCTCTGCACAGTTGACACATCTAGCCTTCACGCTACGCATTTCTGTTTTCTGTATGGACAGGTTATGGGCCATTATGGCTGTACCTTTACTTATAAAAAGCTAACAGGATAATCAAAGTTTCAAAAGTACTTTGTTGCTTTGTTTTTGTTTATTTTAATGCATTGCAAGATAAATACAAATAAATTTAATGCAGTCTTTTTTTCAATACAACGACGTTTCATAAGAAATAAGTAACAATTTAAAGATACAATCACTAACAATCTATAAATCTCTCTAATAATACCCACTTCGGAAGAAAATAAATTAAAAATTTGATATAAAAGTGATTTATCACAGACAATAATCCAAAATAATATAAGTTTTAACATATCAAAATATTACGAATGCCTTACAATTAACAATACATAATTGGAAAATTGATGAAACATCTTTGAACAATGATATGGCAACATTATTGTATCAACAAACAGCAAATTACTCTATAAGTTTTTTGAAAATTCACTATTACAACAGTAAAGTTGACAATTTTTGCTCCTATTAGTAGATCCATTTCAAGAAAATAGTGAATTTTCATCACATACGTATGTATATGTACAAATATGAAAGCAGTGTTTCTACTTGCAATAAAGAAATAAAAAACTAGCCACTTTTTAATCTCAGCGTAGCACTATTGTACAATTTTAGCATTAAAATGAAATGAAATTTGATCTAATATATTGGGCATTGTTTAAATCTAATAAAAAAATGTGCTAAAATCCTCTAAAAATATTACAAAGCATTTTTGGCACATTGATTAAAACTTCCGAGGTTGAATTTTACATGACTATTCTAAAAATTTTTGAGGCAATTGTTCAAATACAAACAGATTAGGGCATTTGTAATCACTATTCAACCTTTTGAAGGTACCTAGGATTTTTTTCTAAGTCAAACATGTAACAATTCTGGAAAAACTTACTCCAGGGATTTAATTAACTATGAAATCATATTGCGATAAATTGTTTTTAATACATCTATATACACCAGAGTTCAAGAATGTGTTAATTTTCTTTAAACTTTGAAATTAAACAGCACACTATGACAAATCGATGGAATGAATGTGAAAAAAAAAATTTACATATTGCTTGTGCACCGTTATATTAATTTTGGTTTGCAGTACTGCCTGATAAAGTGATATAACAATAAAATATAAAGTCAAATTAAAATTATGATAATCCCTACATAAGAGCATCTATTTATCCATAAAATTCAGCAGTATTTGTATTGGAATGTAAAATAAGTCCATAGCTTTTTTTTTTCAATAATTCAATTTTATCTATTTGTGTTTTGAAGCAATGTTTATGAGAGCAGCTGGATAAACTTCTTGTGGCGATATTTGGGGTGTCTGAAAAGAATCTGCATCAGGGATATGCAGGGTAAGGCGGGACAGTGACTTCATTCAATTATGCTAATTTTTGAAAGTACTAAATGTCTGTATAAACAGGTGCATTAAGATGATCAAAAATTTTGCATTTCACTTGATAAAAACGTAATTTTCATGAACAATAAAATATCATAGGAAAAATGGTGGATCTCAGGGATATATACACAGGGAGAGACATTCCATTTTGACTTATAAATAGACATGTTCCATTTCAGTTGACCAAAATAGACTGTCACTACAAAATAGACAGTAAAAGTCTTCAGGAAGATGACGGGACGTCAGATTTATAAGTACGGAGAGGCAAGGCAGTGACTTATCCATTTATGCAAATGCTGACAGTGTTAAACGTCTGTATGAGAACGCGTATGAAATTTCAGTTGCTCAAAATAGACAGTCACAGTGAACAATCATGGGAAGGAGTTAAGTCAGGGTTATAAGCAGGGCTAGGTATTGACTTCATCCATTTATGCAAATTTTGGCAGTGGGAAATGTCTGATAAGCAGGTGGGTTAGATGTCAGTTGGTCAAAATAGAATTGTCACAAATGATGACAGGAAGATGTAGTCAAGGTTATAAGCACAGTATGGCACTGATATTTTGTTTCTGCCAACTTTGTAGCTTATCAAGGTGTTGCATTTATTGGATTAAAACAGCCTGTAACAAACAGTTTAAGAGCAAGTTTTAAAATTATTAAGATGTTTACAATTAATACAGAGTATTGAGACTGAATGGGATGAAAAGAGGGTCCTTTTGAACAATGTCCAGAGATGAAAATCCTTGGGCAAATATGGATTTGGCAGTATGAGGGGAGGTGCTTTATTATAAGCTTCTTTCACCCAACCAAACCATTAATTCTAGTGTACTGTATATAATTTAAGAATTAAAGTCAGCAATTTAACCAAAACTAACCGGCATTGGCTAATCGCAAGATTGTTTTGTTTTTTTTTTGCCAGAATAATGCCCCAGAAATCGTAGGAGCTTGGCTGGGACGTGCTACCCACTGGATTCACCTGACATTATTCATTCAGATTTTCACTTATTCCTGGTATTGGAAAACTATATTAATAAGGAAAAACTTTATATAACTAAAGCTGGGTTTCCAGTGAATGAAAATCACTCGCATAGCTCTTCTGCAAAAATTGTCTCTTGTGGATACTACTCTTGGAATAGCCAGGGGCGAGGATGTTTCAGGGTGAGCCGGCTGTCAGTTTCTTAGTGTGCATCAAAGTGCCTCCCATTGTCTGTTTCTCTCCATGTAAATGCAGATGTGTCTCGAGCTACAGATGAACCAAGAGGACCGTATTCGATTTATCCAAGCTACCGATTTTTGTGGGATGCTAAATATAAAAGTAATCATAATAAGGACAAGAGAGGGGATGCATGTTGGGAAATGTGGTGTTTTCATTACTTCTTTTTCTTTTCATTATTAACATAAAGTATCACCATGATACCAAATGCTAATGCTGCAGGAGTTGTATATACGAACAGCATGTTTGACTCGTGCAAACTGATGGCTCACCTTGTTTCACCACGTGGAAATGTAAAACCCGAAACAGCCATTTCGTGAGGGATGGAAACACAGTTTTAGAAGCAAAAAACACATCAAGGCGTTCACTGCTCAAAAACCTGAGACGTTGTGGGAGAACAGGATTACAAAATTATATGGAAGATGGATTCAAATGAATTTGAATTTATCATTAAAAAAGCCTCGGACTTATTTTACAACTTGATACTATGTTTAAATCCATGTAGCAATCATACATTTCAATCTCCTGCATTGATGAAACATGGGAAAATGATATCACTTAATTGGGTCGTAAATGTGGATTACTTCCGTTTTAAAAATGGTTAATTTTATAATTTAAGCACTCGCGACATATCGCTTTCCTATGAAAGTAATACTGATTGTTTTTTGCAATTCAGGGACATAATGAAATTGTAATCAAACATTATGACATTATAACGTTAATACATCTTTAAAATTTCAAATTAAATGGCGGTAATTAAAAGTTCCTTGACAATCTAACAGTGGACATTTAATCTATTTTTAATAAGGTACTAAAACTTTGGCTGAAATTTTGATTTTGGTTGTATTTTTTTTTTTTTTTGACAATTATTTTACTAATAGACTAGATTTTTCTTTCCTTTTTCTTCTATATGGTTATTTGCATCCATACTTTAGGTATAATATTAAAATAATTATTTTATTATAGACCATTCAACAGTGGTGACAGACTGTCATTAAAATTGGTTTTCAGATGGTTTTCACTGTTAATCTAATTACTGTTCTAGTTTAAATTTTATATTACTGTTAATTACCAAATTGATTATTCACTCTCTCATTCTGAGGTAATTGTTTACTTATGATTAATTAAAACAACTAAATTTTATTACCTTACATTATTTATTAGGCCTTTTCGAATTTTGTAGAAAAATAGTCTTAAAAAAAGTTAATATCTTTCAGTGTTAAAAATAGACCACTTTTCAAGCAATCAATTTTTTTTTTAACTAATTTTTAATTTTAGAAATACGAATGACTAAGAACTAAAAAGCTTTTTTTTCACTTTTATGTTTTTTCTGGGGAAATTTTATAGCCTAAGCCAGCCATTTTCTGTGGATTAGGATACACCGGATTTTCTATGGCGCCTTCTCCAAATTTCAATTCCAAAAAGTCATGAATATTGTTCGGGGCAGAAACTGTACGACCTACAAAATCTATACTGGACAAGGGTTTCAAATAATGCTCTGGAAACTCCATGTCTTGTCTGTGTGTTTTAAACCAAGTACTTTTGGTCATCGTACCGTTTCGAGAATAAAACGGAAATATATCGACATGGAGTCTGTTTATTTGACTGAAATGCACTCGGAAAAAGTCTCCTTCCATGGCTTTTTCCCAAATAAAACCTTGTTCGTCTGCTGTAGGTTTTGTTTTAGCTCTTAAAAGCCATATACATCTACTGATGTCTTCCTTGTAAATACCAATATCGACGTCGTAGTCCCATGGTAAGATGTCACCTGACCTTATGGCACCGAGAAGGCTTCCTCCTTCCAGCCAGTAACGTGTTTGAGATTGCTCCAATTGTTGAAAAACGTGTCTCGCCGTTCGCCTCAATCCTGCTAAACAGCAAGGAGGAGTCCATTTACCTTCCCAGAGGTACTGCGGCGTGTCGTCGACGACTGTACCGAAACAACGTGGCGTATCTCTCCGACACCCATACCACTCTACAAGTCCATTTTCACGCACCACTTTCTTTAAGCCCAAGCTTCTAAACATATTGTGGGTCCTATCCTTTTCAAGCTGCTGAGCTTTCCACTGATTGTGCGGGTTGCTGTAAAGTTCTTTGCCGCTACCAAAAGGAAGGTCTCTGATCACTCTTGTCTGAAATAAAACAACGGTTTTAAACATAGGAATACATAAAATAGTTGTTTAAAATAGGAAAATATGTATTAATTAAAAAAAGTCAAAACCACACAGTTTATATATAAAATGTTTTTTTACCATCTATACTTGAAATAAACCAAACTTTTGTTGAGGAAATCTTATATTCTAGTGGAAATACTTGGTATTAAAGGGGACAATTTTTTTTTTACATTTTTATTTGGGGGTGGTTAGGGGTAGAAGAATCAGGTAATAAACATTTTCTTTTTAAATGTCTTATTTTTACAACCAAACCTATTTCCGGTATGCTAAATATGAATAAACCTAAATACTCCTGTTGTACCGGCACAAGTTCTTCACTGAAGATGGCGCAATGCCAAAAGGCGTTTGAATAACTCAAAAATCCATGACTGGAGACAGATCCAGTAAGTTGACCCTGTGCCGGTTCAACATGAATTCACCGACTAGTAGACAAAACCCCATCATCAACTCAAACCTAAACAATTTAAAATTTAAGGGTTGTGCATTAATTTTGTCCATCAGTTAATTATATTTTTTTAGTTTTATTAATTATTTATTAGTTATCTAAACTAGTTTTTCATTCAATGTAGGAAAGATTGAGAAGAAAAATTGGTGTCGCGAACAGGACTTGGACCCACAACCTAAGGGCCTAAGGGTCAGTACCCAGGCACTTTCAGACAAGTGGTACGACTTTTAACCAGACACTGGCATCTGAGAAAACATCTATATAACATGAGCATATATAATGATGATCCCATTTGCAGATTATGTAATGAGGTGGGAGAAACAGCCACCCATATCATCTTCAGATGCGAAAAAACCTAGGGAATGAAATTGTAGCAGCAACAGTCAATGACCTAATACTTTTGAGAAGAAGAATATTGTTGATTGCACTTAACCTGGGACTAGGAAGGTAGAATAAGCCAGAAGGCTGCAGTGCCTGGGGAGCAGAAAACCCGCTTCCTAATATCCTCATCATTATCATCAATCGTTAAAGACTTAAAAGAAACACCTCAAAAACTACCATAACTGCTTTCAACAAGAAAGGAAACAGAAATACAAGGCCTACACTTCTATAACGAAATGCTGCAGTTAAAAAATGAGGTTAAATACCTATGAATAATCAACCTGAAACCCTCACCTGCAGCAAACCATAACAAAAAGTAAAATATTGCTGTTGACCACAAGAAGACCCCTAGGCAAACGTGGGGATTAAAACCTAAAATGGACCATTGGCTATACATGGCAGTAATAAGACCCAAAATAGCCTATGGATCATTAATCTGGTAGAACAAAGGTCAACAGAAAGTTACTACTCAAACTCTAGGCAACATACAAAGATTAGCAAACCTATAAGAATGAAATGTCAATGAAAAAATACCCTCAATCGCACTAAAAACTCTGCTAAACCTACCTGGCACTGGAACCTAACCTATGGCACCTAACCATCCCTAACCATGTTCATACACGAAGAAGCTAGGAAAAACTCAATTCAGCTCCAAAAACAATCAAATTGGATGGGAACTAAACAATTCGGGAACATGACCATAATTAATATAATCAGACAACCATTCGTAAAATTGGGGATTATACGATCCCAAAAACATTCTTTACAACATTCTTTACAACATCCTATAAAGTCTCGACAGACTATAAAGGAGAGGCAGAATTCAGGAGAGCATATGGTATATATTTAAATGGCTCCAAAACAAACAAAAGAACCGGATCGGGTGTTTTCTGAATCAAAATATCCAATAGAGACCAAATAGACCAAAATATGACCAATCATCAAGCATTAGGGAAGTACACGTCGTCCTTTCAAGCAGAAATATATGCCATCAATGCTTGTGCCCTAGAAAATCTTAAAAGAGGTTACACTGGCAAAAAAAATCTTCATAAGATCGGATAGCTAAGAATAGCTATTAAAGCATTAGCGTGTAAAAAAATCACATCAAAATTAATCAGTGAATGCATCCGAAATTGCAAAACCTGGAAAACAGCAATGATAGAAGATATCTTGGGTGCCAGGAGACAGAATTTTGGGTAACGGAAAAGCAGATATCCTGACCAGAGGGGATCTGCAAGACCAAACATAGGCCCCGAACCTTAATTTAACCGGTCACCGGCATCTGAGAGAACATTTACATAACATGGGTATATAAAACGATGATCCCATCTGCAGATTATGCAATGAGGATGAGGAAACAGCCACCTATATCATCTTTGAATATGAAGCAACGCCTCAATGAAGACATAACCTAGCATACAGAAAAAACCTAGGGAATGAAAATGAAGCAGCAAAAGTCAAGGGCCTAATACTTCTGAGAAGAGTCGATTGCACTGAACTAGGGAACTAGGAACGTAGAAAAAAGCTGCATATCCACTATGTTCAAGAACAAGTAGCACTCTGTGATCCTGTAGCCACTTCAAGTGGGGACGAGGCCACGAAGTGGTTGCTCTGCAAGAGATCCACAGTGTTCACCCGAACGTGGATGGATTAACATGTCATCCAAGATAGTGGCTAATGCAGCATGTTTTTAGTGAGTAAATTTCTATGAAAAGAGATCTAACCATGACTTCCAGTTTGATTGATTTTTTTTAACAATTTCTCGCCATGCGTCTTCTTTCAGGACGCAATTTTTTTATAATTGGAGCCTTTAGGATCCCACAATAATGGATATTTTTCGTTCAATTCGATAAGAACGAGGCATTTTTCCTCCGGCCAGTTTATGATTTCGGAGATTGCACAATGTGATGTTAGGTAAGACATTACATAACGTTCCTCACTGGCATCCACGAACGTACTGTGCTCCCCTTTGAGTTTGCCCCAAAAACCGATAGCTATTGGAACGTTCTCGAATGTTCGCGAACTGTTACACTCTCTGAGCGCAGAAGTGTACACACTAAAGAGGAACCTGGTTCGCGAACATAGTGGGTAGGCAGCTTAAACAAGAAGACTGCAGTGCCTTGGCAGCAGAAAAACCCGGTTCCTAGTATCCTCATTACCCTCACCATCCACCACTTGAGCTATCGTGACTTCTGTCCTTGAGACATCAAGTCCAAATATTATAATTTTATATTTTAACCAATTTACCAACAAGATACTGTTTGTGTCAAGTTCCATGGCATGCGGTGGTGGTCCTACATCTACAATCTGTTTGCAGCTTTGATCTGTAGGACAGGTATATATACATATTATGCAGAATGGGCGACCAAGACCCGAGGGGTTAAATGTGTGGGTAGACTCGTACCCCATCCCTAAAAGGTCCGGGACTTGGTTGCTCACGTGTCCTGCATAAATCTCTTGGACCTGTTCACAAACCTCAAGATTTTGGACCATTTAATCTCGGGGAGTGATTTGGTGATGTACTCTCCTTCAAAGATTTCAAATCTAGACCTAGCATACCCATCACACTCTGCGAGGTAGTGCCTTGCCGTTTCTTCTTTTATTTCGTAAAAACGGCAAAAGGGATCTGGTAGAATACCCATTATGGAGAGGTGTCTTCTCAGTGGGCAGTGGCCGTCAGGATACCTATCAGCCTCCTAATTCCCTTCCTTGAGATAGAGAATAGCCATTTCGATTCTGCTGGTTTGATCGCCTTAACAAAATCTTTCGATTGCCTGTGTCCAGGAGATAAATTCCACTCCCTAAGGAATTGTTTCATGCACCAATTGTTGCTACTCTCTTTCGCAGTGCTCATAGAGTGTGGTAATACCGGTTGTGGCCTGACAAACGCAGTATTAGAACCTTCTTTGGCTAGGCCGCCTTTTCATTGCCATGGTGTCCTTTAAGTGCTGGTATCCAAATAAGGGTCACCTTGTTCTCAAACCTGGAAAAGATCCTATTGATAAAATCTACAGTTTCCTCCACCAGTCATGAGGTTGACAAATCTTTTTGCAGTGACCTAAGACTAGCCTGACTGTCAGAAAAAAATTTAATTTCTTTTTCCCTTAATTTTATTTTCCATAAGTGTTCTACAATACACATTAATGGCCCAGATTTCCGCCTGAAAAACTGAGGTGTTATTACAAAGAGGGGAGGAGACTGACATTTAGGGTTTTTAAAATTACCTAATGTTCTTCTCCTGCTAAACATTATCAATTCTAGTTTAGCAGGATTAATTGATAAACCTTTGTCACAACACCACCCATAAAGCAATCCCATGGCGTTTTCCATCAGTAATGAAAGAGTCAGAAGATCCCTACCTGTGAGCATTATGGTACCATCATCTGAAAATAATTGACTGTAGAAACCTGAATTATTCAGAAGTTCTATTAAGCTGTTTACTGTAATTAACCATAAAAGAGGTGACAAACAGCCTCCTTTGACATTAATTCTAAGAGTGTTACCACCTAAGCACATCCTTCCTTCCAAGTAGGTCTTCACCCATCTAGTAAGGTGATGGTCGACATTGTAATTATCTAATGCAAAAAGTATCAGCATTATCAAACGCCCCTTGGATATCGAAGAAGCATAGTGTATATTCATTATTAAATAATGATTTCTCAATCCTGCCTATCAGTGAATCTATGGTCTATTTGCAGCTTTGATCTGTAGGACAGGTAAAACAGAAGAAGATGAAAGTCAAAAGACAATAGTCGTACCTTGATCCCTTTGGCTGCAGCTTGGACGTAAAACGAATCCGGGAACGGTAGCATGAATGGATCCGTAAGGGTTTTGAGTATGTCCGTCCTGAGGAGTGTGGCGTGTTTCCCTTTGACGAAATCACACTTGTCATCGTTGGATTCTTCGAACTGTATTATCCACTCTTTCGGATTGATGTGGGTGTTGAGGCATCCGACGGGTTTCGTCGCTTTGAACGTCGCGGCGACTATCTCGTTTTTCCCTTCGTCGATCGTCTTGAACATCTTCTCCAGTGTCTTCTTCGTGTGGATCCTCGCCGAGTCCGGCATGAAGAGGACGTAGTCGCCTTTCAACTGGAAGACCGGTGTCCTCGATTCGAACGAGTTGTTCAAGCTAGACTGAAGATAGACGTGCCTCACGTTTTGGAAAAGTGTGTTGGAAGTGTTGAAAAGTAGTGGCGGGTAAGGAGGCGAGTCGGTCACGATCAGTATGTTGATTTTAGGGTAGGTGGACGTTATGGACCTCACCGTGTTGGGGATGTCGTTTTCGAAGTTCTCGAAGCCCCGGATGACGATGGTGATGTTTTTCTGCACCACATCGTTCATCGTCGGAGGCCTCTTCGCCTTCACCCTTTTTTGAACGGTCGTCGATTGGCCGTACTGCCCGGTCGAGACGCCGGCCAGCTCGTTCTGGCTCTTCAGCAGGACCCAGACGAAGTAAAACGCGACGACGTTGAGTAAAACCACAGAGAGGGCCAAAAGCTTGGCGAAACGGATTCTCATCTTTTCCTAGCTCGCTGTTCTTTTATTATCAAAATCCGTTCCAACGGAAATAACAGCCAGACGTCGTTCCCGGTGTCCGCCTCGAGGGGAAAAACCGACGCCCGTTCATTCCGACTCTAGAGACGGGCCTTCTGCCGAACAAGACTCTCCACGACATTCAATGGATTATCAGATTGGTTTAGTTTGTTTGCAACCTCCGTAAACGGTTACCCGCCGTTTGTCCGCCTACATGCAACTATTTCCGTTACGTCACAACCCGGGAATCGTTTCGTCGTCCAAATCACGGTCATTGTTTTCAATCCAGACCTTAAGTTAATATTTATTTATTATACAGGCAAAACCTATTAAAAATATGCAATAGTTGCCTTTGGTTTTATTTTAGGTCAGATCTGCACATATTTACTCTTTTCATCAACTATATTTTTTCTATTCTTAAACACTCACCTCTTCTTCTCTTTGCTAATAGATTAAATTTTTTCATGCCTATTAATTCCAAACTCTAAAGATGACCACATACTACTTCAAGTGGACTTGAATGTTTTTTATCGCTGGTCTTTAAAGAACCACCCTTTTTTAATATGGATAAATGTTAAGACCTAAACATTATGGAAGTAATTAGAACTAAAGGAGGAACAAATTACTAACATAGATTATTTCAACATCTTGAGATGCAGTCTGGTGTGATGTAGGTTAGAAAGCCATTTTCTTGATCTTGCCAACGTTTCAATCTTTATTTAGATCATCTTCAGGGGCTGGGATTTATAAACACTGTTTCAATTATACAAATACTTATAAGATATTAATATGAATTGATACAATATTGTACAAAATATAGAACTTTTAGGTTTAAACAAAGCATTTGTCTGTTATATATAAGGTCAAATCTGCACATTTTTAATGCTTTCATCAACGATATTTTTTCTATTTTAAAACAGTCAACTTCTCTTCTTTTTGCTGATGGCTTAAAATGGTTATTCTTATTATTTCTAAACTAAGATGACCACTTACTACTTCAAGCAGACTTAAATGCTCTTTGTCGCAGATCTTTAAAGAACCATCCATTTTTAATATTGACAAATGCTAAAACCTAAACATTAAGGAACATTTATGGTACAAAATGGGCTGGCGATTGCGAAAAAAAAGGCATAATAAAAAACATGACAGATCTGAAAAAATGTGTCATACATAAGTGACACCAAATCTGTACTGAAGTGACCAAAAAATTAGCTCATTCTATGCCAAACTGATTGAGAGAACTAATTAGAAATAAAGGAGGAGCAACAAATTACGAACATAGATTATTTAAAGATCATCAGATGCAGTCTGTGATGTAGATTAGAAAGACTTTATCTTGATCATCTAGAGGGTCTGGGTCAATTATACAAATACGATATTAATATGAATTGACACAATGTTGTACAAAATATAGAACTTTTAGATTTTATATACTGTACAACTAACCTAATTGAGGGTCAATAGGGTAATCGATATTCCACCAACGACCCTCTCACATTACACATCCATGCTAATAAATACATTCACTCTCAACACAAATTAGGTATACACAACTATTATTACTATATACAATAGAACAACCCATTTCCTCCATGAATCAAAACCCAAATCTGTACTGAAGTGATAAGAAAATTAGCCCATTCGATATCAAACTGATTGAGAGAAGTAATTAGAAATAAGGGAGGGGCAACAATTTACTAAGATAGTTTAAAAAGTGTTTCAGATTTAAAAAAAAAAAAAAATCTGTGGGCAGAGAATTTTTTGCAAATGAACACCAGTGTTTAGTGATAATGTCTATTCTACGATTATCTGAAATTAATTGTAATGATTTAGAGATCCATCAATAAACGTTTATAGTTTATTGTTTCTGAATATTTATTTTTTTGATAATTAAAAAATTCGTATTAATTAATACTGTAGTTGTTTTACAATATTATGACTGATAGCTGATATAGGGCAAAGTTTGCCTAAGTGTATATCAACCAGTACTAATTTTCTTTCAAAGAAATCACCCATATTGTTTGAAATGAGAAGATGCTGATACGAATGTAATTAAATTTACCAAGAGACAAGGTGATATAGCACACAAATTTTATATATACTCATATTCATTCATTAACCTAGCCTTTAAACAGTTTACAAATATTTACCTCAATGTTTTCATTCTGATATATATATACACAACATATATATACATCAATTAGAGCTAAACACACTTAATCCTTAATCCAAAACAAGGATAAAGGATTTGTCAATGTATAATTTTTACAGGATTGGAAATGTTTATTCAGTCTCATTTGAATTCTGAAACAATAAACTGTTTAGTTTTCATCTTTGTTTTCTTAATTTCAATTTTTAAACATAAAAATGCCACTTAGTGCTGAGAATGTTGCACGTGGTGTGGCACTTATTGATGATGGATGTTCCATCAGGTATGCGGCTATTGCCATCGGTGATATCTACGAAACACTGCGAGATGCCGTTAGACCTTTTAGAGAAACTGGGTCCTACCATAGAAGGCCTTGTACTGAACCTCCTAGGGTAACCGAAACACAGGATGACCGTTTTTTGACTTTGAGCATTTTGCGAAACCGACACCTTACTGTTGTTCAAACGATTCATCAGCTCCAGGAAGTTCGAGGTGTCCAAATCTCTGAATGCAGTGCTCGAAGAAAATTAAATCTGTATGGACCGCTTTTCGCCCTGTAAGAGGACCAGAATATACAGAACTGCATGGCTCGCATTTGCTCGAGAACACAGTCATTGGTCTTAGGACGATTGATCTGCTGTACTTTTTACTGATGAGTGTAGATTTGCTCTACGATCTCCAGATCGGCATGAAAGAGTGTGAAGAATGCAAAATGAAAGTTATGAAGCTTGTAATTTTTCCCAGAGCCAACCTTTTCAACGTAGCTCAGTGATGATGTGGACGGGAATTTAAATGGAGAGTCACACAGAGTTGGTTGTTGTTCATGGACGGCCACTCGCTATGTGCATGAAATTTTGGAACATCATGCATTGCCTAATCTCGATGAAATCAGCAACAATCCTATTCTAATGCATGATAATGTCATGCCCACATGTCGGTCGCATAGTACAAACGTACCTTCAACAGCATAACGTCAGGGTCTTAGCCAGCCCATTCTCCCGACTTGAACTGCATCAAACATTTACGGGATAACCTCAAAAGACAAATAAAAGCACGTTCATCACTTCCTGATTCACTCCACAATCTTGAAAGGACTCTTCGTGAAGAATGGGCTAACCTCCAGCAAAGAGACATTTCCAGACTGGTAGAAAGTATGCCGAGATGTCTTTGAGATGCAATTAAGGCAAGAGGATATTGAAATGTAAATTAAAAAGCTAAAACAAAATTAAAACAATTTTATATGTCCATCTTTTTTTTTCATTGTCCTTAACAATTTACTTTTTTCTAACTTTTTTAGACAACGATTCAATTATTAAACGTTAAAAAAATGTGAAACTTTGATTAATATATAAAAATATATACAAATCAAGTTGGATTACAAGTAGATGGAAATTTTCGGCCTGCCAGTGTATTTTTTAATAAAATATGTTCCTAGTTGATATTAAGTGTTATGATTGATTAAGTGTTATGAAACTTAACATTAATACTTTTGAAAACTATAAGAAAATAGAAAAAAGGAGGGAAATGACAAGGACTGCGATGACAGTAGAAGGATGCGTAGATACTAAATGGTGGGGTAGATGAAAACGGACTGTACCTTCTGTTCCTCTTCCTAGTTCATACTTTCATAGTCAATATTGACTATTGACTTCCGGTTTGTTTGTATTCTTAACCTGGACTTTATTGTTTAATCTTCAATCTTCATTTTCTGACGAAATTGTCTGCTTTGGACGGTACCAATTCAAAACACAAATGACGGAGCTCTCGACGTACGATGGTACTATTCAATTCCCAACGTTTTAGAAAATTATCAAATTTATTATTATCGCTTTTTTTCCCAGCATCAAAAGTGGTTCGTTTCTTAATTGTTATATAATTAAAATTACAAGTGTAAAAACGTAGTTTGAAAGTAAGTAAGTGGTTTGAATGTGACATTGACCAGGTCCCAATATCTCAAGGAGTCATCTTTGTTTGGAACTGTTTGAAAATAGGGAAACAATTCTATAGTGCAGGAAGTCCAGTGACACCTCACGTCGCCTAATGAGAAAACCTTATCAAACAGAAATAATAATTTATTGCACCTTTGACAGCCTCTACTGAGTGCGGGAGTGTTGCCACACTTAATTCTGTAGATAGCAGCTTAGTCTCAGCTATGCAGCGGGTTTCTTGGCCAAGCCAGGCACGATACTGAAGAAAAAGTATAGCCAGGTATATGAGCGACTTTGGACTATGTGACCCTAGGAGTTCGCTTTGGTGAAGCCATTGGGAGGGCAGGTTTGACTCTGGGGATGGAACTCGGTAAAGCAGACTGACACTGCCCTGGGTACTTCTGGTCGTTCTAGTCCAGAATAGTCTCACAGTATTAGTCAAGTTGTGTACACTGACACACCTTTACTGAGCTGCGGTCTTAGAACTTTGATTGGAATTCACCAGTTTCAACCTTGTCTTTACGGACGAGTCTAGAACTGATGAGGGTGTGCCAAGCGCCATGCATAACAGGGTGCATCAATCTCGTGGACACACCCGCGGCACTGCAGCGAGTACAGTAGAACATTCTGCAATCTGGTAGGCGCTTGGGGTGATGATGCGGAAAAACTTCTCTTCACGTCTATATAAGCCTTCTCACCAATAGAGGACATCTTTCTGACATATCTGTGCAAGGTTTTTGTAGTGTATATGCCGCCAGAGACTGCAGTGTCCAGCCAGCAATCCTACTATCATTGTAGTTCAACATGTCCTAGGTTTACTAGATCTACCGTTAAATTCTATGTTGTTCCTTTAATGAAGTTTTTCTTGTGCCTCTGTCCTGGAATACTTTCACATCGAACAGATTATTCTTAACACATTGTCTGTTTGATCTAAGTTTTTGGTTTTTGACAATCCATTATATTGCAAGAGGGAAAATGGTTCAGGGCTGATGTCTTCAGTAAACTTGCCCTGTCCATTTGATCATTCAACTTGTTACCCCTTGGCCCTGTTACCCAAATAAGGGTAATTCTGTTGTCTAATAGCTCTGAACTTTACTATCTATGAGGTAGTGCCACCAGGCTGTCTTAGCAGATGACTATTGTTTTGTTAGTAATAACCAGCATTTTGATTTCCTTTGTTCAATGGCTAGTCTCAACCTGAAAGAAAGTGGTTATTGCCCAAGCCTTCATAAATTCTTGTCCTTGGTTTTTAACATAGATACCAGCTCCTGACCCATACTCTCTTTTTGGACCATCTATATACCAGATGGGATTCCTTTTTCTCACTGCTCAATTGGGTATTTATATTTGAAATTTATTATCAAGTCTGAATTTTGGGATCAACAGGCAGAAATCTTTAGCAATAGTATTGTCATGTAGTAATTGTTAAATTAATAAATGTTAAACTGTTCCACTGTCCAATTTGTTTTTCAAATAAATTAATTAATTCAAAATAATGTTATAAATAGATTATTGTTAATATATGTATATAATTTCTAGGGTACCAGAATTATGATGAACGATATTTACATTCCAAGCTACAGATTGGTGCAGGATACCAAACCATATTACGTCTATTTAATCCAAGTATGCGCTAGAGAACTTGGTCTCTTTGGTACTGTCGAAAAAAGATACAGTGCTTTTCATTCCTTGCACAGAGAAGTAAGTTGAATTTTGAACTACTTTCAGAATGATTGATTTTTAATCTTTTACTATTTAAAGCTCAGAAAACAATTTTCAACTCCTCCATTTCCACCGAAAAGAATAAGATGCTCTCAAGTGAGAGTACTCGAACAAAGGAGAAAAGAGCTTGAAACCTATTTACAGACAATGTTTCATTTTGTGCCAAGCAGAAATTTTGTAACTAACTTTTTGGGCTTGTCATTATCCTCGAACCATTCTGTCAACAGGTATTTTACACCATCTTAAAATGTATACAATATACCAGTGATTAATTAATCATTAACTATTTACAGTGACAATCATCATCATCAACCTATATTTAAACTTGAAAACTCAATGTTTACAAAACGAACTGGCTTGCCTAACATAATCAAAGACGGAGTACTGGATGCTCTTTATGGCTCGGCAAATCAAGTTTCTTGACCCTACTATTATTTGTCACTGGTATGTGTGATTACCTCATAGATTAAAAATACCAACCCACTGTTTGTGTAAGTACATTTAAATACACAACACTAGTGTGTATTTAAATTTAAAAAATGAATCAACAATCTCTAAAATAATTTTTGTGGAGTACAGGATGAGAAAGTAAGCCAAGTGGGCTCCTGTCAGTCACTGAATCAGGAGTTGTTACAGGATTTGGAAGTTGACAAAGAGAGCTTTTTTCACCTAATTAATCAAGAGTAGTTACAGGATTTGGAAGTTAGGAAAAAGAGCCTTTTTCACCTAATGAATCAGGAGTAGTAACAGGATTTGGAAGTAAGCAAAGTGAGCTCCTGTCACTCACTGAGTCAGGAGTTGTTACAGGATTTGGAAGTTGGCAAACAGAGCTTTTTTCACCTAATTAATCAGGAGTAGTTACAGGATTTGGAAGTAAGCAAAGTGAGCTCCTGTCACTCACTGAATCGGGAGTTGTTACAGGATTTGAGCTCCTGTCACTCACTGAATCAGGAGTTACAGGATTTGGAAGTAAGCAAAATAAGCTCCTCATTCACTGAGTCAAGTGTAGTTATAGGATTAGGAAGTGAGCTCCAGTCACTCACTCAACCAGGAGTATTTACAGAATTTGGAAGTAAGCACAATGAACTGTCACTCACTGAATCAGGAGTAGTTACAAGATTTGAAAGTTATCAAAATGAGCTCCTGTCTCTCACTGAATCAGTAGTATAACTTGTTACATAAAGAAGCATGTGAAATACTAACATATCAAATGCGTTTTTGGTTGTTATTTTGTTTGTAATTTATCTAAATATCTTAATGTTACAAATGATTTTCTAATAGTTTGTATTATTCACAGGAGGCTGATAAATGAAATCCACATAATGTGAAATGATGTGCCAAAACAATATGGATATCTACATTAATTTTATTAAACTTGAACAAAACTGTATATTTTAAATTAATTAAATTTTTAGAAAATATTTTGTAATGCTGTTGATCTCTATAAGTGAAGTCTCATAGACATATCGTAAATAATAGTCGTTGAAAATATTAGTACATGAGTGAGAAGAAAAATAATACAAATATTAAGGATGTCATGAGTTAAAATTAAAAATTAAATTTATCTTATATTTTCAACAAAATGATCATAATTTTAAAAAAAGGGGTTTTGCAATTAAGTTAGCTAAAAGTTCAAGCGCTTTTTGGGGAAAAAAAAACAAACATTTGAAAGTACGTTGGGATGAACTCAGGTCTGCTGATATATGCTTACTCGATGTTTAAATGGCCATGTAAAGCTGCTCAATTTTTGACATTGATTAAAAAAAACATCCTCTGCTCCAGTTGTGTTTTTTAATATAATACCTTACCGCAAAAAAAAAAGATGATACTCCAAAGAACTAGGTTGAGGTTGAGTACAGTAAAAGCTCAAAAGTCAGTAACTGGGAATATACAATAAGTTAGAAAGCTGCAAAACTTTTAATATCAAACCGCTGTTTCTTAGTATCCTTATACCATCATTATATTTTCAAGCAAATAAAGTATAAGTCGAAGGCATGTTTGCAGAATGGTTTTTACTACAACAAAGAATGACACCTTGAATATTTTTGATATAATTAACATTGGAATGCAGAGTGGTAAATTAAACTTTTTTTTCTCACCCATTTATATATTTTGTTTTTCTTTAATATTTACAATGAAGATGTGAGATCAAATTTTTTATTACTCTTTTGTAGGAGGAGAGAGAACTGTTGCTCATTTACAAATGTTATTATTTTCAGGCTGTTAATGTCTTAGACAACACTATTTCATTGTGAATTATTTTTTACATAGTTGTAGTTTGTGTAGAATGCTATATTTTATTGATTGTATATGTCATGACAAATTGTGATATTAAAACGAGATTCACCATTTTTATAACTGAATACCATTTGAAATTGAAAGCATTTTTAAAAGTGATTGTAATTGGGGTCCAAATAGACTCATTTTATTTAAAATTGGTGAATGTTTTGAAGAAATAAATTAAAAACTGAATTTACCGGTGGTAACAATCAATCGTAGTGCATGTAGTTGGTGATCTTCAGTGATAAGAGAAAATACACAATCCATTTGTTTATACAGAAATTAATATGCATGAAAAATGTACAATAAAATCAAAAATATATAAAGAATAGTAGCTAGATAGTTGGATTTTTTTCTCCTGAAATTATCTCAAAAAATTTCCTTAATTTAACAATATAAACTGACTTGTCCAATTGATCTTCTCATCAGTCTTCTGCCCTGTGTACCCTGGTACTAAAATAAGGCTAATTTATTGTCTGACAGGGCCTTGATGCAGTCCCTATACCAAACATTTCCATCTCCTTGAAAGTGTTCAGTAACCACAACTACAGCGGAGGACTTGTTCTGTTATTTCTTCTTCTTCCTGACAATCTCACCTGCTTGTTTCTGCTGCTCTGAGCCTATACGCCTCTGGAGTAAGCACTCCTATTATCATTTTAGTCCTAAAACATTCTAAATTCAGCAGTTCTCTCTGAGAAAGTGAGCAGGTGAGACAGTCAGTGAGAAGGAGAGAGATGCTTCTGACGTGGACGAAAACAGGATATTGGTACACCAGGCGGTCCCAATCTTGTACAGCTGCGCCAAAGGGGCAAGAAGGGTTGTTTACTATTTGGAAGCGATCCAGGTATACTTAGTGCTTCCCATGTCCACTGAACACCTATACAAGTTGGAGTGCAATTGGAGTCTAACCTTGATTTGATACTTGGAAAAAAATGCCATTGTGTGTATTCCTTTTTTCAGTTTTCCCAATAGGCTTCCCACAATTGGATAGTTTTTAATTTGCACATTTTATAGACATGTGACTGCAGAACCGTCTTAAAGCTCATGTCGAGATTTCCATTTCCTACCGCGTTTTTTGTTTGTCGATCTACCTCTCTTACCTTAGAGCCTTTACAATGTGAATGACACTGTTCAACCCAGATTTTCTAGACAGTTGACCTCCCTTATTTCATGTGCTGTTGGAGTAGCATTTTTATTGTTGCAGGTTGCTAGTAGGAACACTTGGTGTTAAATAAAAATTTTCTATTGGGCAATGTCAGCCAGCCAAGCAAAGCCAGAACAGCCGCAAGTGCCATCATCCAATGTGAATAGTAAAAAGCTCAGGTTGATTGTATGTGCACCATTCAGCCAATCTGCAGGTCAGAATCTTGTGCATTTCCATATTTTCCTTATATATATTACACCACTACAACCTACCAGGCTATCTATCTATCAAAAAATGGTGATTGATGGAGTGAATGCGGTGTTCAATCCCTTTGTAAAAAAAGATAGTTCCTACTCACAATAAGTTGTTTTCCAACTATCCGGATTTCAAGCTTTTAGCTCATCATCAGTTTGAAGGAGTTCTCGACATAAATTTCAAAAGTGAACCCGCTGACACCCCCTCCAACGCGACATTCCAATGAGAAGCTGGTTTTTAATGCCGCTCAATTTCGCACATGCGAAAAGCGGGAATTATAACACAAGTAAATATTATAATGGTAAATACTGTAAGAAATTAATTATAAATTAGTGATTAAAGATAAAAGATAAAAAATTAGAATAATANCAACAACGGAAACCTAATGATTCATTTATGGTGGGGTGGCTGAGTCCTATTGTTGATTCTTTTAAAGTTAATTTTTTTATTCTTTTAACTAGCAACCTATCAATAAATATTTTTAGATACCCATTGTTTTTTGCTAAGGTTTTAATAGTTTCTAATTTTTTTTAGCAGGTGTTAATGGAAGTTTTAACATACAGTATATAACATATCTATCTTGCTTCTATCGGTGTTGGGTGTGTAATTGACTGAATTCTGTGGTAATGTTTTAATAGTGATTGTTTTGGCAGTATGACAAATTTGATGTAAGAGCAGTGGTTTTTCAAGTTGGTGTTACTTTTTAGTGCCACAACTTTTTCAGTCATCTCACAGAGAGAGTGTGTGAGTTACAGAGAGTCATACAAAAGATCAAAGTGAAACCGAAATAATAAAGTGGTTGGATTTTTTTTTTTTTTTTTTTTTTTTTTTTTATGTATATACTTAACACCCTCTGTAATCCGAATACCCCCCCCCTGAAGCAATTAGTTCAGATTACTGAGACAGCACTGTATTAAGGCTTAAGATTAGGCAAACTCTAAAATCGTTCAAGTGATATTCAATTAGAATTATTTTTAAAGTTGAGAATTTAAAAAAATTATAGTTTAATTTACCATTTAGACAGAGGTTTGAGGATAAGTTGACCTAACGTTAAAATAAATTAGATATTGTTAAATTGGTCCATAACCGCGTGTGGTAATTGATACCTTCGTCGTAACTACGCACTGGGAAGAGTTTTGATTTTGTTTATATTTTGAATTTTCGACCTGAAACTTCTGGCACATTTTTATTCCGATATTTAAGATTTTAGTAAACGTTATTGTCTGAATGTCATCTGTGGTAGATGACAAAAAGAGAAAATCTCAATTCGTTGAAGAATTTAAAAAAAAAATCCAGTTTTAAAATTAAGATTTAAAGCATTCTTTGAGTGTACCTCGGTAGGGTAAGACTAAACGTAATAAATACTCCAACTCAGTAACCCTTTAATTTTATATTGTAGATTCGAGGGGTGACAAAAGCCTGCCGGTGTCTTGAATGTGTACCAACCAGTCTTCCGCTATGTCTTTGCTACTTTCCAAGTTGAACCTGAGTACGTTGCTCAACTCTTGTATTCCGTCGAATGCACCGTTTCAAAAGTGCTTAAGATACAGTCCGATGATTTTGAACCGTGTTCACAACAAACCGCTAGAGGGTGAACAGCTTAAAGAATCATCGAAAAAGAAAAAGCCCGTTTACATATCGTTGATCGGCACAGATGACAATGTATCGTATATCACTTTGGAAGAAGCCACTAAGCTTTCGAACAGAAGAGGTCTGAAGTTAATGAAAATAACAGATTTCGATGTAAAGAAAAAATGTGCCGTATACAAACTCTTAACCAGTGCCCAGTACTTACAAGATGAAATCAAACACAAAAAAAGCACAAAAGACCAACCCACTGGGTTCAAAAGCGAGAAAATAATTACATTTTCGAACAAAATTTCAAATCACGATTTAGATTTTAAAGTTAAACAGATTATCAAGTGGATTGAAAAATATCACCAAGTACGAGCCACTGTTTCAGGTCTGGAACCTAATGACCAGCAAACGGTAAGGTGTTCAATATGAAAATAAAAAACTAATTTAAGTCATTCGTTATTTTAGGCAATTTATTATACTTTTCCAAATGACTCTTCTAATAACAGTAGAGTTTTTCCCTGTCATTATTTTATTTAATAATTTCAGGACAATGAGCATGATATCACTCTCTTACTTCCTCCAGTGAGGAAATGAAAGTGTGCCATCATGCTCACTCCTACCTCTAGTGAGATACTGCGAGCATGATAACATGCTCATCCTTTCTCCAGTGACGCACTGAAAGTGTGCCATCATGCACACACCTACCTCTACTCAGGTACTGCGAGCATGATATCGTGCTATTGCTTCTTCCAGTGATGTACTGACAGCGTGCTATCATGCTCACCCCTACTGCTAGTGAGGTACTGTTCCGACAGTGTGCCATCACGCTCACCCCTATCTCTAGTCTGGTACTGCAGGCATGATATCGTGTTCTTCCTTCCACCAGTAATGTACTAAGAACATTTCATCACACTACCCCTACTTCTACCTAGGCACTGTGAGCATACCATTCCTATAGTTGATGTTATTTGAGGATATTGTTACAATTTATTTAATAAATTTTTTTATGTACCATGATCAATTAATTGACTCTCATTTTGAATTATCAAAACGTTTTGGCTCATGAGAAACTAAACAAAAATCAAAAGAATAGTATAGTTTTTTCCTCAAAAATGCTCTAATATAATAAAATACAGGAATGGGCAGTAATTCAACTCAGCCTGTATACTTTTACGTTGTCTACACCATGAGGAGCCAGTAATTTGGTCGTTTCTGATCATTTTGATATGTCTATCCTCACTATAATAGAAGACTGCGTTGTGTGTGTGTATCGAGTGTGTAGCAATATTTTGCTAGTGCTTCGGGGCAGAAAGGACCAAGCTGTCAGATGCCCCTGTCAAAAAAAAAAAAAATGCGATAGGCAAGTGGTTTAAGGCATCCGACTTATTTGCCACGCAACTGTCCTGGGTTTGAATCCCAGTGAAGTCCATAGTTTTTTAATTGATCATAGTATGAAAATGTACTGTAAAGTGGTTTGATCCCTTGTTGCGGGATGCGGGACCCAAATGGGTAGTTGGACATTAAGCCCTCCTTTAAGAAAGGAATTACTTTGCTTTACAACCTTTACACCCCAGGGTTGCTGAGTGGTTGGGGTGTCCGACTCATATTTGTCGTGCTAGTGGTTCCAGCTTAGAATCCTGGCACAACCCATGGGATTTTAATTGATCATAGTATGAAAAATGTATTGTAAAATGTTTTGATCCCTTGTTAATGACACCCAACGGGGTTGTTGGACTTTAAGCCCTTCGGTATAATTCTGTAATAAAATTATATTCACTAATTTCGTGGTCCGCTTGACCAATTAATATATTACAATTAATTAAGGTTTTTTGAAAAATGGCAAAAAGGAGGGAAAATTCAAAAGGTGCGGTTGAGATGGGAAGTTGTTGTCCGAGTGGATCGAGGTCACGATAGCTCAAGTGGTAGAACAGCGGCGTATCAAGCCGAAGATCCTGGGTTCAAATCCCGCTCGTGCCATTGACTTTTTTATCTCAGTTAAAAACCTTAATTAATTGTAATAACATTATAGTTAAATAATGTAAGGCAAAATTTGTATGTTAAAGGTTGGGCATATACAAAACACCTCTACCCCCATTAGTACACATGGTTGCAGTTGGCACGCTATTTTTCTTATGCTGAATTCTATTTAAATACAATAGTCACTACAAAAAAATTACATATTTATATTTATGTCTTTTTGTTTAATTTTGGCATTTCAGGAAAAAGTGTATTCACAGATAGAGACTTTAATTGGGAAGCAAGCGAGAATTCTTCAGAAAAGAAGCTCCGGTGTTGATATAAAATTTCAGATAGTTCCTCTAAAAAAAGAAAAGAAAGAGAACGAAAACAAAGAAACCGAAAACAGCACTCAAACTTCATGAGTCAAGGAAATTTTGTGATGTTTTATTATTATGTTAGTCACATTTTTTTTGCCATGTGATTTATGCGCTCAAGTACATAGGAAGTAAAACCTGATATTTGCTAATAACGCAAAAAACTGTTTTATTTGCTGGTTGTAGCAGTACTTTTGATAAATATATATATAATTTTTTTTTTTTTTTTTTGGAAATGTAATTATGAAAGTAATAAAAATCTTTTTATGAGACTGTTTAAATAAATTAGATTTTAACTTTGTATAAATTCCTTTTGATCATTACTTAACTATTAATTTTGATCAGCCATTTTTGGCACCTTTTTTTAACATAAACACTAGGCACAGTTTGTCAAGTTAATTTTCATAAGGTGAGAACAATAAATTTTACCTGGTTGAAAAGTAAGAAAGAAAAAAGAAAGAAAGAAAAAATCTCAACCAAGTCCTTAAATAGAAAGAATAATTAATTGAAAGAAGTAACTTGGTCAACTGACCAGTAAAGTGTAAATGGGTAATAAGAAAGTTATGCACAAATGTGGGTCCCTGGTCATTCAGGTCATAGAGGCAATGAGAAGGTGGACATGCTGGCCAAAAAAGAAGCCAGAATGAATTCTCTAGGCCCAGAAACCTACTCTGTCCTAGCACCAAGCCACAAAAAAAGGATGAATCCAAAAATGGATCCTTAATGATTTCAAAACCTGGTAGAAAACCCCAGGTATGAGGTAAAGAAATTCGTAGAAGGGCCATATTTATAAAGGAATTACTGGAGGCTAACCGCAACAGAACCAGGGTTCTCAACTACAACTAAACTACAATATTAAAACACTTATGGCGTTAGGGAGCTTCTTAACTCGCAACTTGCTTAAGGTCTAAGGTCTATAAATGAAACAAAGAAAAAAACACTTAATTGCGTGGAACAATTAATTTAATAATTTTAATTTTAGACGTGTCACTTGTAACAATTTGAAGCTGGGTGTGATTCCTTTAAGTGAAGTGTTTAGCAGAGATATTTTTCCCTTTCATAGCCATAGTTTTGTGGCTAGCTGAAGTTTTGGCTTTATCAGACTTTTCTATTTTTTTGTTCCGAACAGGCAATTTTTTAATTGGTTTGTTGATGATTGGCTTGGGATGTTCCTCGAGAAGGACTTTTTCGGTGGGTAGTAGTAAGCATTTCTTTCTCCTTTCCAAGGCATCTGTCTGGCGAGGCAGTTCTGCATCTCCTATGTTTTGTTTGGGTAAACCCTGTTCAACGAATCTGTTCCCTGTCTTGAGTTGGTAGGTTTTCGCCAAAGATTTCGTCAATTGGTTACCAAAAGAGTTGGTCGATTTATCGTACAAATTTTTCAAATAGTTAAAGCTATGACAACTCACATTGGGACTGTTAAAGCTCAACTCCGTGACGCTGAGGTTCTCATACATATCGTCGAATTTATTACGATTTGTTTTACTACGATCCCCACATCCGAGGTTCTCTCCATTCTCACTTTCCAAACGTGCGTGGATTACTTGTAGTAACATGGATATTAAAGATTGCTTGGAGTGGCTTCTCTTCAGTATATTTTCCACGGCAGTCTCTATGTATTTAGGATTCTTTTTAATTGCCTCCAGGACGCTCTTTGACACCATACAATCATGCTTGTGAGTTAACGTTTTTGACATATCTCCTGGTAGTTCTTTAGGCGTTGAATTATTTTTCCCCTGGCTTGCCTGTTTCACAATAGATTTCTGCCTATTTATCTGTTTAGGGTTTGGAGATTGAGATGTGCTTTGGCTGCTTGAAATCTTACTAACGTTTTGTGCGATTGCTTTTACATGCCCTTTGGAAGGTTGCTGTTTTATGCCTACGTTATTCAGCAGTCTTTTAAGCGATGGTATTTTCTTCCTTCTGGTAGGAGGGCTTTTGGTTTTGTTATTGGATGTCAATTTACGGGTTTCGACTTGTGATTTGCTGTTGTTTCCTGGTTGCAAGGTTTTGCTGGATTTGGATTGTGTTGCTTTGTGCGGCTCCTGGTGCTGGGCTAGCCCTCCTTTCTTAGATTGTGTAGTTTTCCTTACTGATTTCTTTTTTTGGCGGCCTGATTTCAACGTTTTACGAGATCGCCGATTCATCTTCTTTCTTGATTGGGATTTTAAACCTCGAACGGGTTCAGGTCGCTGTTTCTTCCTTCTCGGATGCGCACCTTTATGCGATACGCTCTTATGTGCCTTCCGACGTCCCTGGGCAGATCTTTTGGAAGATTTATGGTGCAAACCTTTACTCGATTTCTGTTCTTTACGGGACATTTGTGAAACTTTACTCACCTCCCTTTTTGAAGTCTTACGGACAGACTGTAAAGACTTTCGGGAATCCGGTACTAAACTTCTTAAGGACTTGGGTTGCAATTTTTTACTAGATTTTGAAGAAGTGGCCTTGAGTGATTTTAACGAATGTCCCTTATTAGGTAACTGCTTGTGTGATTCCGTGGGTAGTCCTTTCCGACACTCTGCCATTGGTTTATTGCGTTGAGACAAATCTTTTTGGTTTTCCTGCGTTAAACCTTTACGTGATGAAAACACTTTTTGCTCTTGCAATACAGTAAGCGAATCTTGATGTTTTTTTAAGTTTCCCGCTTTTTGCTTCTTTTTAGTGTATTTTTTGCCTTTTTGTTTTGCCTTGCCGGATTTACATGACATTGTTCCACTAGGAGCGTCACCAGACTTTACTTCATATACCCTGCTCGAAATATCTTTTATATTGTCGATAATCTGTATGAGCTCGTTTATTGTTTCACGAGCCTCGAGTCCAGTAATCATAGATTTTTCGGTTGGGTTCTCCACTGCTTTAATTCTGGCGTCTATAGGCAGTGAAGCCCAGTCCTTATTCCCTTTGGCCAGATTACCAATTACTTCGTTCAGTCGCTGTATGTTTTCTTTTAATTCTCCGTACTTTTGGTCATCGGAAAAGTCTGTTATTAAAGAGCGAATCTTCTCATCGACTTGTTTTTCCTTATAAACTCGCAATAGCTTTTTGATCCGCGAAAAGCATACAGCATCGGGCAAAGAAGACTGAGCGATAATTCCGTCGTAGAACTTCAAATCCTTCGGCACATTTTTTGGTTGCCGCTTTGGCTGTTGGTTTGATTTCTTTGGCGGTTTAAGTTCTGCTGCGCTCTTTCTGTTTTGAAAACTCATGCGTTTTATTTGGTCAAGTATATTTGCAAGGTGGGCGGATTCTTTTAAGGAGAGTTTGTTATGACTTCCTCTTAGCTTCATCTCAAGAGATTCGAATTCTCTCTTAAGACGGGAGTCTATTGTGGAAGTGACACGTTTATCCGAATCTTTTTTACTAGATGTCCCCTCCGTCGTGTGACGGTGTGTCGTAGAATTAGTTTTATTGTCGTAAATCAATTCTGAAAGTTTTACAGATGTTATCAACGGTGTTTTACTGGGTGAGAGTTGTTTATTTCCGCGTTTTATAGTCTTACTTCTGTAGAAATTTTCTTCATGCCTGTAATAATGATCGCTGGAGTGTGACTTGTTTTTCTCCTTGCTCGATTCCATTTGGAGCCGCTTGAGAATATCCGCTACGTCTAAACTGGGCGCTTCGGCACTCTTCTCAGTTTTCGAACTTGAAGGGCTAAAGGAAAACATTTCTTTAAGGAAAGAAGACAATTTTATTTCCAGTCTTTTTTCCTCATCTTCTGGAAGTTTTTCGTCCGTTACGATGCCATCGTCTATAAAGTCGTGTTCTATCGGGCCGGGGATGTAGTGCTGCATTGCAGACTTACCGATGCAGTACGATTTCAAAATGTCGTAGAGATTTTCATTTGGGTTGTTCCTCGATTTCAGATTATCGCTGTCCAAACACTTTTCTGTGGCTTTGGGCCTGACGCTGAGTTTAGTCTCGATTATATCCGTTGTCGGATCAACCATGGGCAAAAACCGAGTTTCGTGTTGTAAAGTTTTACATGGTTCGTGAGGAATTTCATCGTCATAGAAATCATCGAACCTCAACCGTCGTACGTATCCGTAAAACTTTCGCCTTGGGTTGAACTCTTTATAATTGATTCTCGGTTCATAAAGAGTCGGTAAATCGTTAGTTGATGCCAGTCGGGGAAGAATTTTGTTGTCCAAACAAAACTTGATCTCCTTCTTCAACGCCAGCAGGTATCCGGACGCTCTGAGTATCCAGTTTTCTTTCTTACTTGCAGATAGGAGTAAGTCGACTACTGAAAGCATGGACTGAAGTCGGAGTTTGGAGTCTTTCTTCTCGACGGTGGAGGTGGTGGTAGGTCTGAAAGAACGCCAACAATCGACTTTTGGCCCGACGTCTCTTAGTGATCTCCTCCTCATCTTCGGCGTATTCGGCGGACTACCACCTCGTGGTGAGATTTCCGGTTGTTTTTTTATCCCGCAGCTATGACTACAGATTGGTTCCATTGTTTCTGGAGCGGGTTCGTACAGAGAGGAGATGGACGGAAGTGAAGGAATTGACGGAAGTCTTGCCACAGAAGGTTGGGCTTTCAATTCCTGACTATTTCTACTGTGACGTCTACTCGGTCGTCCACTCAATTTATACGCCGATCTGACCATACGCCACTTATTGATCGGTTTATATTTTTTCTTTGTTGTATAATCTTTGCCATACTCTGTTTGTGTAAATTGGGACATGGCCGGATTGTCCTCTGTCCCGTCTCCTTGTGCACCTGGACGAACCGATAGCACTGGCCTCGGTAAACACCCTGCAATACGTTAAATTTAATTATTAATTCATGATTATAACATCTTTTAAAAATTCATATACACCCAAAGACAAAAAACCGGAAACTTGTATTTATTTGTTTATTTTACATTATATATATATATAACCTTTGGGCACTCTCAACACGACACACAAGAATGATACATCTACACGGAAAACAAACATTTTGAGCCCTGAAGATGATCTCAATAAAGATCGAAACGTTGGCACGATATATATAAATATATAAACTCCCCTGAGCATGAGGCACGCGAAGAAATTCATAGAATGGCCATCCGCAAGACTTAAAATGGAATTATTGGGGGAACCGCAACAGAACCAGGATTCTAGTTGGACTCCTACCACCTCCTGGAACAGGGTACTGTGCCGCATAATAAGGCACATACACCGAATAAGACTACAGTCAGAAGAAACAATGTGCAGATACTGCCAGGAAAAGAGGAGACCATTTTATGTGAGAATAGTCCTGCAACTAGGAGAGGAGAACCCCCAAGCAAGATCCTACATTAAAGGAGGCTCTATGGAGGTTAATTAACAACCTGAAGCTACCCAGTGATTTATAAAATTATAAAAGCATAATGAATCTACTCAGGTCAAGGTGCAGAAATCCTTGTGTACACCTCTTTTATCTGTATACCTATCCCTATCCCTAGGTATAAAGATTAATAATTGACTTAAAACGTAAATACAACATTAATAACTTGTTTGGACCCAATAAAGCATATGTGTCCAGCATGTAGGTATGTTGCCGGATTTAAGGATGTTTATCGGGCAGTTTCTGAGTGCCCTGTTCGGCTTTTTAGAGGACGTATGTTTTTTATTGTATACTGATCTGTTTTATAGTGTGACTTGTTGGTGACTGATGGTGAAATATAGCGTCACCTTCGCCCCTCCAATGATGTGTATGGGGATTTTTCCATGTGTTTGGAGTGATGTAGCAGTCGAAAGAGCCGTTGATTGGGGATGCGACAATCTCCTGAGCATCTGGCTCAAGCGAGATACTAGCGACCTAGCCGCATAACGGGGTAGGTGAACTCCCTGAGGTATTATCCCTAAGGTCAGCACCTCGGAGACTGACAACCCTCGGTTGTGAAATTCCAATATGGATAAATTATTGGAAAGCGGTTTGACCCCCTCGTCCGCGACACCCAACGAGTAGTTGGACGTTAATCCCTCCTTTATATTTATATATTTTTTTTTTCAACTGATTGGCACATGATACTTTACAGGTTCAACAAGAATATAGCTATCGTGTCAGATAGTCAAGCAGCCATCAAAGCACTAAGTTCACTCATCATTATCTCGAAGATGGTGTTGAATTGTAAAATTAAACTAAATAGATTAGGTATGCGAAAAACAGTCACCCTATGGTGGTCCCAGGACATATGGGAATAGAGGGCAAAGAGAGAACGCCAATCTTGAAGGAAAGGTACTGCTGATAGATCTTGAGCATTTCTGTGCCATAGGAATTCACAGTATCAATAAGTATCTCAAACTTTTGTCTGAGACAGTTTGAAAATAAGAAACAGTGGAATTCACTCATTCATAACAATAGAATGAATTAAAGGAAGCAGGAAAGACTTCGAATCCTAACAAGACCCTGCAGACTGAATGGGCGTACATAGAGAATGTGAGGTCGGTGAATTGAAATGATTATTTTTTAAATGTAGTTTTCAGTACATTAAAAAATTATCTATTGATCAAAGAGTATCAATTCAAGTTACGTCTTAGCTAAATGTGAGTGAGACCCTTTGCAAGTTTTTTTTTTTTTTTTTTTTTTCGTAACAGCAGAAGTCATATAAACCCTCAGGGTGCCGCTGTTTTTGAAAAAAAAGCCCATATGTAAGTATTTCGGGTTCGAATGCAGGTCCGCTGGAATCGAACCCGGGACCTTCACCTTACAGTGATGAGCGCCGCGTCAACGCCTAAACCGTTGCGTCCACCGACGCCCCTCTTTTAAAAATTGATGTTTAATTTTTATTTGGGTATAAAATTTAACAATATATTTAAACTACATAACAAGTATGACATCTGTTTAGAAAAGCCGTTTGACAAATTTGGAAATCCTTTTTTTTTTTTTTTAACTCATTTTGTGAATTTAAGTCATGTTGTCTCATAACCATAGCAACAAGAACCCATAAAAAATTTAAATTTTAAAAATTCAAAATGCAAAAATAAAACGATTTTCGAAAAAAAAGGCAAACCTTTTTCACCAATGTATGGTATTGCGTCCACCCACTAAACAAACGTTTTGTTCAAAAAATAAAAGCCGACCGCATAACAATTTTAATTTAAAAAAATACAAAAAAACTAAATGCAAAAATTAAAAAAATCATTGATACTTACACTTTTTGAGATTGGGTATTGTGAAAGGGAAAAGTCTCCTGCAGGTTAGTTCAGTCTGTTGGTTGTGCATTACCCTATAATTTTGAAGCCGTGTGTGCCGAAAAAATTTTGACCCGAAAATGAATTATAAAACCATAGCAACATGTGCCTCGATTTAATACTATCAAACAAATGACTAATTAATCTTAAATCACCTGGTCCTATTAGAAAGAAAATTTGTTTTTAATTAAGAAAAACAAAAAAAGAACGAACCACAAAACTAAATACCATTGACCAATAAAAATTAGAACTAAATATGAGTTATGGAAGTAGGGTCAGTCGGTGTTGATGCAACCAAAATTAAGGTTAATTAGCAATCAGGTTTGATTTCAAATTTGATCTGGCCAAGTGGAAGCAAAAATGCCTATTAGATAGAAGTATTTCTTTTACTTTAAGTAAGAAAGTTAAAAGCTAGGGTCTTACAAGGCAGCATTCTTGGTCTCATTCTTTTTGTCATTTTTACTGCTGACCTATATATCCTAATACCATCATCATCACCTACGCGTACAATACAGCAATTTTGTCCTCTAACTTCAATCCTATCCTAGCTACATCCAACATCCAAGAACATATTGAGCTTATCATATACTGGTGGAGAAAGTGGAGGACAAGATTGAATAAAGAAAAACGTACTCGGTGTTCACATTGAAAAAACAGACTCAACAACAGACATCTGACTATAAATACTAAACAAAACTTATACAAGACTTTACTGCAACCTCTTTTGGGCATACGGATTGGAACTACGGAGTTCTGCCAAGACATCCGACATCCGGCGCTCCAATCCAATAAAAAAAAAAATTAAAAAAAAAACGGATGCGACATCCGATGCCCATGATTTTAATCCTTCATTTGTTTTTCGTTTTAATTTCATCATGAATGGCCTCACAAAATAAGAATATACATTTTTAAGGATATTTAGGAAAAACATTTCATATTTTAAAATCATTTTCCATTCTTAGTGGCGTAACAAAAATAGGACGATTTGAAAGATACTGTGCTCACACAGTAATACCAACCACTTGTTGCAGAGGGGTATTCGGATTACAGAGGTGTTAAAAAATACATACATATGAACAAAAAAACAATTTCAGCACACACTTTATTATTTCGGTTTCACTTTGGTTTTTCGTATGATTCTCCCTCTTACTGACTCGCGCACTTACTCTCTTACTCTCCTTCCCTCTCACACACTCTCCCTCACGCTTTCTCTCTCTCTCTCTCTCTCTTTCTCTCTCTCTCTCTCTCTCTCTCTCTCTCTCTCTCTCTCTCGCTCTCGCTCCCATTCNAACCTACAATACTAAAAATAAAAATAACGTTCAAAAAACACCTGAGAAAAACATATGGTGAAATATTGAAGTGGTGCGTTAATTTTGAGCAGGAGTTTATATATCCACACACTCTCTATCTCTTTTCAATTCTCCTCTCATACACTCTCCCTCATTTACTCTTTCTCAGTCACCCACTCTCTATCTTTACTTTTTCTTTTTCTATCTCGCTTCCCCTTCCCCGTCATGTTTCATTTGTGTTCTTTAAAATTCTGTTATTGAAATTTTGTATAGTTCCGATTACTGGAATGTTTGGAGTGACGAAGTTCAGATTAGGGAAAGAGTTTTGTATATCCATCTGAAAAACGGTGTCAAAACGTTACTTTTGAAAATATCTTTTAAAAAACTCACTGTTGTTTAAAAAATAAATAAAAAACTATAAAAACACGGCAATTCGTAGTAATTACCGAGAACATCGTAGTAAATGTGAAATTGATAGAAGACATTGGGGTTTCTTTTAAAAATAACTTTTAAGAAGTAACTAATAAAATAAAATTATTTATACATCTAATTTTTACATCCAAAAATAGCACTTAAAAAATATACATTAAATGGATCAATCCAAATCCATATTAAAAAACAAAACACCTTGATATTCAGATCATCATGACTGTCATTGAGACCTTTAAATTAATCACTACGAAATGTACGTTAAGGACGTAGAATTACGGATAATTAGGAGACACTATAAGTTTACTATAAGTTCATTTTCCTACTCTCTTAGATGTCACGGACATTGATAAGCCTCAAGTTATTTTTTTCCAGTCCCAAGTGGAACTAAAAAGAAGCTAATTGGGCAAAATTTAAGGAAAAAACGTATGAATTAATGGTCAACTTGAATTATGAAGTACATTTGAAGAAATTGTCAATAAATAGTGACCTATTTATTCCGAAACTTAGCAAAGTCAACTATTTTTTGAAGGGGAAAAGGCCACGAAAACGTCTAAAAATCTTTATGAACACGAACTTCAAATTCTTAAAAGATTAAAACAAACGAATCAAAGCATCGTCCATTGAAAAATTATTATCGCCCAACGTGGGGCTCGAACCCACGACCCTGAGATTAAGAGTCTCATGCTCTACCGACTGAGCTAGCCGGGCTGCTGAACGAGGGTTGAAAAGAGCATACTTCAGTCACATCATCGAAATTCAGAAATATGTATGTCGGAGTCAAAGTGAAAACGATCCCTTCATGAATAATACATACGTGTTTTTGCCTAAAGAAATTAAAAACAAGTTTTTAAAAATTTCCTTATTTTAAAATATCAGTTAAATCCAGTCTCTCTTTCTCACTTTCTCTTTCTCTTTTTTTCACTCACCCGCTCATCCTCTTTTCTCTCCTTTTCTCACTCTCTCTCGCTCCTCTCTCTCTCTATCTCTCTCGCTCTCTCTCTCACTTACTCTTTCTCTTTTTCTCATTCATCCGTTCATTATTTTTTTACTCTCTCTCACCTCACACTCACTCTCTCGCACTCACTCACTCAATAACTCTCCCTATTTCTCTCCCCTCTCACTCTCTCTCTCCCTCTCTATCTCTCTCTCGCTCTCTCTCTCTCACTTACTCTTTCTCTTTTTCTCATTCATCCGTTCATTATTTTTTTACTCTCTCTCACCTCACACTCACTCTCTCTCGCACTCACACACACAAACTCACTCAATAACTCTCCCTATTTCTCTCCCCTCTCACTCTCTCTCTCACCTCTCAATCACTCACTCACTCTCCTTTTCTCTTTCTCTTGTTCTCACTCACCCAATCACTTCCTCTCTATCTCTCCTCTCACTTATTATTCGAAATCCAAATATTTTATATAGACGAAAAATTTATTGAATACTGAAATTGAAATTGGTGGTTATATTTTTTATATCGATAAAAATATGTACATACTGGACATGTCTGAGGTTCTTGTCTTTTTGGAGAAGAAGCTTTTGGACGTGCTTTTTTTACAGTGAGTTTGCTACAATCACTTGAAGATCCTTTCCCCTGCAAAAAAGTTTTACTTTTTAATACTTCTTAAAAAAAAAGTTTTATGTCGCTCTCTTTCTTTTCCATTTTATATATGAAAATCCCTAAGCCCATCTAGGTCTCTGCCAAATTACTCCGCTATTCCTCCACTCCAACTCTTAAATATCGTCTTTCCTATTTAAATGCCATTCACTCAGGGTGGTGGTGTAATTGATTTCCTCCGTACCTACTATATAATTATCCACTATAAATTCAGGGTCGAAGGGTTAGTAAATATTCCGCCATCGGACCTCTCACACTACACATTAACGCTAATAAATACATTCACTCCCAGAACACGCAGGGGACACAAATCTATCATTATTATAAACAATAAAAAACAAATAACAATAGCTCTCAAACAGCTCGGTATATTAGTCCCCCCCCCCGAACATTACATCTACAACTGGGCAATCTGTATTAATGAACTTTTTGGGAAATTTTTAAATTTAATAAATTAAAAAAATTTAATAATCATGTAATTAAACCATTTATGTTTAGCGGTCCAATTGATCATATAATTTCAATTAATTGTTCTTTTTATGGAAGGTCTTGGTTGAGATAATAAAGTTAGTGTCACAAGCCGAAGGTCGTGGGTTCGAATTCGCCTCGTGACACTAACTTTTTCATATAAACCAAGACCTTACATAAATAGAATAATTAATTAAAACTCATGTAATTGTTCATTTATTTTCTCTAGGTTTGTTTTATATTTCTTAAGTTATATATTATATATTTATAATGTTATTAAATAATAAGAAATCTTATTATTATTATCTTATGTTGTGATAAGAGAAAACCGTATTGGGGAATCGCAATTTATTCTCCCCCTCCGCAATTTCTAAAAGGGAACGATTAGCTTTTACGAACGTCATTTTAGATAATAGAATGACTGTACTAGTGTAAATAAAGTTTCCATTTAATTTTTTTCGAGAGATTTTTGTGTAAATGTGATTTGTAAAAGTTGAATCGGTTTTTTTATGTTGGCAGAACTTTTGCCTGGTTATGTTTAGAACGTAGACTTATCATAAACTTAAAAACTATACAGAAAGGAGAAAACCTTCGGATGTGTCGCTATGCTGTCCGAATTTGTTTGATTTTCAACAATTATGAGACAGGTTGATCTGTAAATTTAAGCCGGACTTCATAGAAAAAAGTTTAGTGGCGTTTGTGTTCATTATCGGTTCGTCCTCATGGATAAAACGCTGGAATTCTACAGGCTCGAGGTGACTGGGACGGAATGGGAAGTGCCCGTCAGGTATCAACAACTGATACCAGTCGGTAGCGGATCATACGGCCAAGTCTGGTAAATACAATAAATTCATTCTATTTAAAAAAAATTAAATGTCTTATTTCATCTGCAACTTAATTGACAAAAGGGACTTCGTACGCCTACACATCAACTATTTGAAAACAGAATTTTTTTAAAAGAAAGCTAAAATTTAAGGTGTGTAATCCGGGCTTAGGTCGATACGGTTGATTTTTATTTCCATGATCGTCCCAACAGCAAAATTAGAATTGGAAATTTCTCTTGTTTCCTTTTGTTTTCGACGTGAGTTTTGGCACAAGGGACCCTTCAACTACAGTCTATTTATAGTTGTATCATTTCTTTACTTTGATTCAAATTGGCAGTATTTTTAGCCGTCTTCTGTTATCCCTTTTGTTTAAATTACATTTTCTTCTAATAAAAGAAAAAAAAATATATACAGGGTGTTGGGCTACTTGTGTTACAATCTTTGCCAGTAGATTTTACTTATAAAATGGAACCAAAAAGTTCTAATTAACTATGGTATGAATTTCAACAGTCGGGGGTTATTCCTCTTTTTTTCTGATTTTTTAGGATTTTTTAAGGTTTTGGACAAATCCGTCGAAACCATTTAAAACTGCGTTAAATTTCCAATAAGATGTGATCAGTACTAAACTTGTAAACGTTGAAATAAGCGTTTTAGTCGAGAATTTTGAAAAATATTTTTTTTTTCAACGTTGAAAAACTTATGGTGATTCTAAACTATTATTTACAAACCTAGAGACCAGCAAATTTCAAAAAACACTTCATTTAATATCCTTTTAGTGGTACAATCGCTTTGTTAATTACTTTTGTCAAATATGAGGAAATTGATGAAGGAAAGGAAAAAACCGTGGTTGATGGATTGGTAAGGTGGAAAGATTAAAAAAATATAAAAAAAACTTAATTTTGACTGAATTAGTTAAACGTTTTTTAATTTGGGTTCGTAACCGAAATAGTGCAAGTGTTTACTTATTTACCAATACGACTGCTACTTTGATTAAAGGATTATTGTATTTTTGTGTTATTATTCCCTGGAATAAAAGAGCTTGAAGGTTCACAACGTTTTTAGTTAATTCATTCCAAATTTCCTTAAGTTTTTATTATTTTTTTTTATTATTATCAATCTTTCCACCTTACCAATCGTCAACCACAGTTTTTTCCTTTCCTTCATCAATTTCTTCATCTTTGCAAAAAGTAATTTTAAAAAAATTAAACCAATAAAAAGGATATTAATGGAGTACGTTTTCTGAAATTTGCTGGTCTCTAGGTTTAGAAATAGTAGTTTAGAAACAACGTAGTAAGTTTTTCAATTTTGAAAAGAAAATTATTTTTCAAAATTCTCGCTACAAAAACGCTTTTTTCACGAACGTTTATAAGTTTAGTATTGATCACATCTTATTGGACATTTAACGTAGTTTTCAATAGTATCAACGGATCCGTCCAAAACCATTTAGTTTTGAAATTATAATTGTTCATTTGAAGAAAAGTCGTGAAACCATAAAATATCGGAAAAAGAGGAATAACGCCGATACTTTTGAAATTCGGACCATAGTTAATTCGGACTTTTTGGTTCCATTTTAAATGTAGAATATACTGGCAAAGGTTGTAACACGAGTAGCCCAAACCCTGAATATCAAAATAACAATAGACACGTACAAAAAATTAAAATAACAACAGATCCATGCGATATCTCACATAAAAAAATGATAAAACATATCTTGATACATTTTATCTTTGTTTTTTAATCAATACCCGTAAGTATCAATGTAAATTAAAAAAAAAAGTTATATATACCTGCAGGTAATTTTGTTACACAAAGCAATAAAAATTGTATATACTATACTTTTTGCACTTCCTGATTTTTTTGCTGTTTTTTTAAATAATTTTTTATAGAAGATTTTATCACTGTTTCAATACGTCAACCATCTTGAATTGTTATTGCTTTGTTTTTCTTTACATATGAACATCAAACTGTTTTTTTTTTCTTTTCAAATCGGTTAACTGAGTTGCTATAAAACAAAAAATTACTTAAATTTGATCGTTTGGCCTAAATGGAAATTGATTTTAAAAATTAAAACTATGCCAAATATTACAAGCATAACCAGAAAAAAATAATGTTTATGAAAAACATAAAATTTTAATATTTTGCTAATCAAGTTAAATATTTTGCTAATCAAATAACCCTTTTGCAATTTAAATTCATCCTTTTCCAAAGCAAACTCACCCTTTTGCCATCAAGTTAAATCTTTCACTAATCAAATTCACGCTTTTGCAATTTAAATTCAATTTTTGTACACATAAAAATGCATACTTTGCAAATTAAATTCACTCTTTTGCAATTTAAATTCAACTTTTGTACACATAAAAATCCATACTTGGCAAATTAAATTCACTCTTTTGCAATTTAAATTCAGCCTTTTACAAATCAAATTAACTTTTTTGCAAACCAAACTCGCCCTTTTGCAATTTAATTTAAGCATTTTGCTAATCAAATTCCCTTTTTACAAATAAAATTTACCATTTTGCAAATTCAATTAATCCTTAAATTCACCCTTTTACTAGGGCAAATTCACTCATTCAATTAAATTGCATATTCACTCTTTTCATTATATTCATTATATATTATTTCATTATATTCATGCAGATATTCACTCTTTTATAGTGAAATTCACCCTTTTGCAAATCAATTTCACTCTTTCACAAATTAAATGCACTCTTTTACATATCAAATTCACCTTTTCATAAATCAAACTCACCTTTTTAGTAACAAAAATCATCCTTTCACAAATTAATTGTACTTTTTTACTAATGAAATTCACACTTGTGGAAATCAAATTCATCCTTTTGTAGAGGAAATATACTCTTTTTACTAATGAAAGTCATCATTTTGCCAGTAAATTTTTTTTGCAAATCAATTCCTTCTATTGCGAATCAAACAGTCAAATTTACCATTTTGCAAATTTAATTCTTGCTTTTACTATCAAATCCACCCTTTGCAAATCAAAGGCCGTTGTCTTTCATTTTTAATTAAGATTTTTTTTAATGTTCCTTTTCTTCATTGTCTTGTTGTCCTTCTTTTTTCAATTTATAGATGAAAAAATTCTTCTTTTTGGCCTTTGTGTTGAATGTGCTTTTTAAAATAAAATTATGATATGAAAAATTATTGTAATGGTTTCATTTTAAAAACACCAACACAAAGGACTAAAAAAATCATTTATTAAATGTTTCTTTTGTACTTTACATAATTAACAATAAAATCGTTCATTCATTCATTTAATACATAACTTCCTTACCTAGTACTATTGCATGGGTAAGTATCCCAGTTAAATAAGTAACACTTATTGGTATGGCTTAGAAATTTGAAGAATTTCTAGAATTTTTTAATTATTTGGAAAAGATAATGTGAATGTTAACATCTGCTTATATCTTTAACTTTCAGTAGCTTGTACTACCTTTTCATAACAATATCTTTTTATTAATATAATTTTTCTTATAATTGTTATAGTTGCTAACAGAAAAAAAACTTGCTTAAAAAAATTGATTTTCAGTTCTGCAATTGATACCCAGTATAAGGCAAAAGTTGCAATTAAAAAACTACCTAGACCTTTTCAGTCGGCAATACATGCAAAACGTACTTATCGTGAACTGCGAATGTTAAAACATATGTGTCATGAAAATGTAAGTATTTTGTTAGTTTGTTTGCACACTAACAATGTTCTTCCTTTATGTATTATTGTAATTATTGTTATATCTTGTACTCTACTTTTTCCAGGTAATTGGTTTACTAGATGTTTTTCAATCCTCAAGAAGCATTGATGATTTTCAAAACCTTTATCTAGTAACACACTTGATGGGTGCTGATCTTAATAGTATTATAAGAACCCAACCATTATCTGATGACCATGTTCAATTCTTGGTGTATCAAATTTTAAGAGGCCTTAAATATATACATTCTGCTGGAATAATACACAGAGTACGTAAATAAATAAGTGAAACGTATTGTTTAAGAAATAGACACAAATTTACCTTTAAACTTTATGGTTCATTGTTGTTTTATGTTATGTTCACTAGAAAATAATTAAATTAAAAAAAAATTAAAGCCAAACAAATAACTTTTTCTCATATAATATTGTATTTTTAATTTTTCAGGACCTTAAACCATCTAACATTGCTGTTAATGCAGATTGTGAGCTTAAAATATTAGATTTTGGATTAGCTAGACCTACTGAAAATGAAATGACAGGATATGTGGCGACACGTTGGTATCGAGCTCCTGAAATTATGCTAAATTGGATGCATTATAATCAAACAGGTGAAGTTAGTTACTTTCAGCAAAAATGCTTAAAAAGCTACTTTACAATTTATCTACAAAGAACATTTTATTTATTTATTAAACATAAATATTTTCATTAATATTACAGTTGATATCTGGTCAGTCGGTTGCATAATGGCAGAACTTATAACAAGAAAAACACTTTTTCCTGGCAAAGACCGTATCCTTTATTATCAATTTTTTTTACACTTTTTAGTTCTTTTTAACACGTTTTATAGATAGTTAGACATAGTTCGTAGGCTTGGTGCATATTTTTGGTGAATAAATACACAAAAGATCAGTTCAAAGTATTTGAAGTAAACTGCCATGTGGAATTCTGTAAACATTTTGATTTTAATTTTTTATTTATTCGTTTATCTAATAAATAAACAAAGAAAATGGACCAACAGAAAAAATTGTTTACTCTCCCTTGACTTGGATTGAAGTAACTTCCACTTTGGGACTATAAAAGTATACACTTTGATGTGGAGGGGTAGGGGTGTCTAAATCCAACAACTAAAAACAATTTTTTTGGTTTCACAAGAAATTTACGTTTTGCATATCAAGTTACATGAACAAACACAACCATGAACATTTATTATTAATATGAATCTGAAAAGCAACATTTTAAGGACTTAACCAGGTAAACTACATAAAAGTAGAACAAATTATAATATGTATAGTATTTAGAAACATTTGTTGCATTGCCTTAACTGACTTGAGTAGGGGAAGAATGCACAGGCAGCCCTAAGGAGGTTTATTGGACACAAAGGTTTCTACCGCTGTCAACATTTACTTCACAATGCGCCAAATTGAAAATGTGCGCACTGGTTGGAAGGCTTTTCATAATTGGGGGACAACTGGAGTCTTCTAACCAATTGAGTTGTCAACCCTTGTCACCAAAGTGAAGGCAAAATATTTTGGTTTGGTAAAATGGATGGTCTGTTTGTATTAGGTGGTCTCAAAACTTGGAAGTATGTAAGGTGTTCTTTAATTCATTTACTGAATTTCTTACGTTTGGTTCACACACACTGAGTTGCATACCATCTTGTAAACTCCACTTTGAGACCATTTGTCGAATGGATTCTTTAGGGTGGGAACAATTCTGACGGGTGGAGCCAGAGCTTTGAAAGGCTATACTTATACCATTGTTGAGGAAAGTACAACAATATGCAAGCAACAGAAAGTTTTATACTGTTCTTACTACCTGGGTAAGTACTACCCTATACCCCTGGGAATATGCTTTGGTGAAGCTTTAGGAGGGTAGGGATGACACTGGGAACAGTACTCGAGCTGGGCAACCAACTGACTCTGCTCTAGGTCCTTGTGGCCATACTGATCCCACTTGCCATGTTTGTCAAGTAAACTCCGCCATACCTTTACCGAGCTAAGTTGTCAGAGCTTAAATCAAGGTACACCGGTTTTCGACTCATCTTCACAATTACAGATGTGTCTAGAATCAACGAGGGTGCATAAACTTCATGGTCTTCCTGCTCTACTGTAGCATTTACAGTGAATTTGTAAGCGATTCGACACATACTTGGGGTGAATTGAGACGATTGTGGCTCTGATTATCTAGTCTGCATCGACCCTTAGTGTGGGCACTGCAGTCTGAGAAGGGTTTTCCGTCAACCCTCTTTTTGTGCTCTTGTTCCAAAGATACCATGAACTGGAGTGTCTTGAAAAAACTCTGTTGTTGTTTGGGTAGAGTAACGAAAAGTTGGAAGAGACGGCTAAGTCCAGGACTCCCAATCTTTGTAGAAGTTCTCACTTATCAAGAGATAGGTGGCCCTTGGAGGACCTGGCACAAAGAAGAATGGTAATCCTCACCCAATTAAGGATAGGCCATATGAGGTTGACATACCAAAAGCCCACGTATTTGTCTGGCATTTAATTGAAGGTTGTCATTCGGCTCTATATAAAGAGCGTGAAGTATGCCCTGAGATATATCAGTATTTGAGCCCCCTGTTCTGATTTTTGGAGGAAACAGGATTTTACTGTATATAGTATTTTATTAATATCTTGTGTTTCTTTGGGTATATTGAGACCGAATCTATTTATTTCCATGAATGTTTAGTGTGAGAGGGTCAATAGCGGAATATTTAGTCCCTTATTGAACTTCAATTAGGTTAGTTATATAATACGTAAAGAGGGTGATGAAGGACGATCAAGTACCCCACTACCTTAACCGAGTGAATAGTATGAGATAAAAAATAATATATTTAAGAAGAGTGAAAGTGTGAATGGGTTTCGATTTAGACACTGATTACATTGGGGGCTAAAATGACAAAGTTGTTCATATCCCCTGGAGCCCAATCTCTCAGCGGCCAGACAGATAACACTGATATCTGACTCTGGACTGCCAACACCTGGGGTGGATGATTATCAAGGCCTGCTAATAATTTAATGCAGCTTAATAAGCTGTATTTGCTGGTTGACTGCAAGAAGTGATAGGCTCAATTCTGTACACGGGTGTATGTCCATGTATGTACAGTTTTGAGCTTAGATTATATTACTGTTTTTATTGTTAATGTGTATTGTGTTGTAAAATGTTAACTTAAGCCTTTTTTAGTTAAACAGGTTTTCGGTCAAATGTTTCTGGTATCCATTGACGTAAGCCAAATATCTAATTATTTGAAGTTCTTTTTCCAAGTTCTCTTTTGATAATTGTAGTCTGATTGCTTGATCGAACAACCAAATGAAGCCTGCTATTTTGTGTGATCAAGGGTGGCTAAAGCTTTTATTTTTAAATAGTTTACGCGGGTAAGTTCTTAAAATGTTGCTTTGTCTTTTAATATTTATGTTAGTAAAAAGTGTTCATTGTTGTTTGTTCATGGAGAAATTTGAAGATGCAAAAAATAAATTTTTTGCAAATCGATTGTTTTGAAAAAAAAAAAGTTTTTATTTAATGGATCTGCCTTCTACCCTCGGCCATTATTTTCCCATCATCTTTCTCCTTCAGATGGGTATATACTATATTATATTTTAAGATATACTGTACAATAATTTAAAAGGCATCATGTTTCCCATGACTATAGAATATCAAAGGGACCAAAAATAAAATGATTTTACTGCCAATTTATTGTGTTGCTTATCCACTCGTATAAAAACCATAATTTTTATACATTAATTTCCAGGTGTTTAGTTTTTGCAGCATATTAAAATTATTTCAGTGGTATTGGCTATTATTTTTATTATTAACTAATCTTAGAAAGTCAGCAAATCTTCAGTTGATAGTTTAGGAAATCCCTTAAGAGATAACAGACTTAAAACAACCTAAAAAACATAAAACAAAATATTTGGATTAAGTTAATATACATGTTTTAGGTGGTCCTATTAACCAAAGTGATTAATATAATTAATTGTTTTTTTATACAAAGTATGGTTGAATTGAAAAATCAGTGTCACAAGAAGGACTTGAGCTATCGTGACTTATTTTTTTTAACTCAACCACACTTTGCATTAAAATATAATAAATCAATTAAATTCGTATTAAATATGGAAACTGATCTATGTACGGTGTGTCATAAACATTACTCATGCAAACATTCCTTGTTTGGTATAAACATTGTAATACAAATTACAAAAACAAACAAAAAATTGTACAAAAAGACATTTTGTGTAATCAAATGTGGCAATTGATCCATGGTTGATTTAATTATTGCAATTTTATCTATTGTACAGTAATTTGAATGGAGAGATTGGTCATCAGTCTATTCTATTGATCAAACAAAATGGCTTACTTTTTGGTGATACTGGGTAGTAAGGCATAATATCATTTTAATCGGATATCCGTTAAGGCTAATTGACTTGACGTATTGATTTTCTAGTAGTATTTTTATTCCTAATAATTTGTTAGTTAATTAATTCAACTGTAAATCTGTTATTCATAACTAATTTATCCTAAATAATAAATTGTTGAAGTCGTGAGGAGCGGTTAAGAATGAAGTATTTTAGAAAAACAGCTTATTCATTCTTTTGCCGATGTTTCAACCTTTATACGGGTCATCTTCAGGGCCTGGGTGAATTATAAATCATACATTGATCGGACAAAATACAATACAGATGTAAATGTAAATTTTGAACCAAGTATTTCATACTCACATAAAGTGTGGTGCTATTCTTGAGTTGTCATAAAAGAATTCACTCAGGCCCTGAACCGATAAAGGTAGAAACATTGGAAAAAAATGAAAGTATTTTTTTTAAATTTTTCATTCTTGACCACTGACTTGACTTCAACAAATTATTGAACAACCGGTCACTAAAAACAATAATAAAGTTGTTTTTCACTATGATGCATTGAGTGAATAATATTTATCTCATAAAATGACTGTGTTTTTTCTCATCAGAATCCAAGCATGTTCTAAAATGTAAGAACAAAGGAATTTTAAATTGAATGTACTTCTACTGACTACTTTTTTCTTTTATTACTTTTTTTTTTTTTTTGTAATGTGCATAATTTAGCATGTTAGATGTTGCTTGTTGATTGTGCTTTCCCTTTACTATGCATTAGATATTCATCAACTGAATTTAATCATGGAAGTATTAGGAACACCAAACAGTGATTTCATGAGAAAAATTTCAAGTGAATCGGTAAGTAATGACAAAATTTATATTATGACATACTTTTGTTGGTTGCAGTATAACAAGCATATTATAATTTATGAATAACAATTCATAATTAACACAATAAACTTATGTTTGTGTAAACCAAATACATTTTCTTTTTGTAAAAAGATGTTATTCTAGTACCTCCATACTTCATATTTGATACTTATTTATTCAGTGTGAAGTGCAGGAGAGATCTTACTTTTTTTGCTGTTGTAATTGAATGAGACCACCTTTCCATCAAGTGAATTGTAAGGAAATTAAAGCATGTTCTTGCCTGTAATTTTATTAATAATTTTAATTTTTTTTACATACAAAATCGTTAAATTTTATTTCATCTTTAACAAATTTGGTGATAATATTGTGGAAAATTTCTTCATAAAAAAAAATTTAAGTTCGTGGGCGAAACAAGAGAGCTTCTTTTTTCCCACCAATATCTTTCAACCTTGACACTGACACACCCTTACTTACTCAGCAGTCAAATATTGTTCTTTCCAACAAGTGAATCATAAAGAAATAAGTAGCATGTTCTTGCCTTATTCTTATGAACAATTTTAATTTGTAGTCCCTAAG